TTTATTCTTGTATACGTTTCTTTCGAAGTGTATTCATGGGTTTCCACTTCTCAGTTCTCTTCTATGGTGCGTAGATGTGCTCTATTACTCACAAATGTGGTGAGAAGCATCAAGAAATGCACTCGTCGCGGTTGCGCCGCGGAGGTACCTATGGGAAGCTGACCGAGGTCCACACTATAGCTTACTCGCAAGGCATACTACTCCATCTTTTGTGAATGTTTTCACACTACCATTTCAAATTTTACTGTTTAATGGGATCTTGGCCCCAAATCGTGTAAAAACGAAATAGATAGTGAATGGAAGCATGGAAATTATCATTTATCTGATGAGAGAATAGTTACTTTTTGTTCACAGTACTAACGTCACCCCCAAGCATTTCCTCTGAGACATTTTCTCTGGCCCTGCTCAGGGCCCGGCACGAGTCGGTTCCTAAGGTTTCTGAAAACGAAGTCTCCCCTGACTTTCGGAAGTTTTACGAAGTCCCCTTTGACCTACCTGCTTAAGAGAAGATGAAAACAAAAAAGATTTAGTAGTCTGAAAGAAAAGACGTAAGATAAGAGTGAAAATTCAAATTGGAGCTGAATACTACGCAAGCACAAGACTTTGGCATTAGAGCGCGATATTTGACAAAGCCAAAAGAAATGAAGGCAAAAAACAAAGGAAAGGCAATGATATGAAAATGTCTTCATGCTCAGGGATAGACTTTTGACCGGGGATCCCGTCCATGCTAGAAAGATCCGAAACTTATGTGAAGTGACGAAAATATATGCTCCAGACGATCTCAGATCGTCTGGTGGCCGTCTGGAAACGATCTAATTTTGGAAAAGGTATTACTTCACATAAGTTTTCAAATCTTCTTATACAATACTTTCACAAATAATTTTCTATGTATACAGTTCAATTTTGGTGTCATATGCTTTTGTGTGCGCTGTAAACAAGCAATTTGTTTATTTTAGCCTTGCTTTCAAATCGCGCGCACTTTTCGCCATGCACGATAGAGCATGTCAGTCGTGTGATAACCTGTCCGAATAGCTTGTGTTTGACTAAATGGCGCTTATTCTTGGTGCTCGGTTCCGACTCGTCAAAAACGATATCCCTTTTGTTGTTTGCTTTAAAAACGAAGTCCAGCCTGCTTCCAGACGATCTGTGCCGGGCCCTGGCCCTGCTGCCTCTCGCCCGAACTGTAACGCCGCTTCGCGTCAACTTCAATTGACACCCATAAGTAATGGACGCCCCCCAGAAAATCCCTTACCGAGGGTTGTCCGCAACGCTGAATCTGAAAATCCACATTATAAGGCGCAAAAACGACGAGAACATGCGTTTTCCAAAGCCTTACAATTTGAAATTCAACGATCCCCGCCAAGGCTGATTGTGAGACGCAGAGTCGCTGCCGGACCCTACGAGCGACTGTGGCGGCATGCGTACTCTGCAGCATAGCAGGAATTCAAACAGGTCGGAGAACCCCGCCCCAAGGCGTATGTTTCCCACTTTCCGGTCATTTTTCTTGCTTTAGGTCGAACGTTATGACCTCGCACTTGCGCGATGTTGTGTCTGAGGGGGGGGGGGGCTACTTTTACATGGCGCTGACCCCACCTCCCCCCCCCCCCCCCCCCCACCTTGCCCGGACACTGCCTTTGAAGGCAGTGCCCGGACAAAAAGTCGGTTTTAAGATTTTGTGCTTACCCGGGCCTATTCGCTATGCTGATTCCGAGAATCCACACTAGAAAGCGCGAAAATGGCGAAAAGGGCTCTAACACAGGAGGGATTTGACAGGGCCGCGCGGAGCCGGGTAGACCAGCTAGTTCCCTATATTTCCAATTAGGTAAGACTGCATTTCGACAGTGTCTGAGGAATTGCGGGCTAGGTAATATACTTACAGTTGTGAAACCCCCAAATAATCCTAAGAGCATTTTGGTGCGCAATCGTATCTATGGGGCTCTCTACGCCCAATAGTATCATCTGCTCTGGGGGCAAGCGCGGGGATTGCATGGCGATTGGGGTCGTCTATCTTATCACCTGCGCGAGCTGCAATGACGAGTACATATAGTCTAGTCGCTCGTAATTTAATATGCGTAATGCACATATACACGCGCTAATGACGAACTGCGAAACTAAAACCTATTCATTTCCAGTGATTTTTCCTTGTTTCCTTGCTTATTCTAGTATTTTTGTTAGTTATACGTTAAGCAACAAAACATATTTCTACACTTTGTTAGGCTGAAAAATGTTTCACAGAAAGCTTACCAGTAAGGGTGCCGTCGCTAATAGGGCTTAGTGTGCAGTCTAACATATTAAGTTACAAATGACTCGAGGTTGGGCGAGACATCGCGGCCGCTATGTGTTCGCATAAAGGAACGAATAGGTTGCCGGCAACGGTTGTCATTGTTGTCGAGGTTGTCGGTGTTATCGGGGTTGTCGGGATCAGCGATGTTTGAAGAGCGCGCGAAACGTGGAGGCTATCATGAGGTCCTACAAGAACCGGCAACCTCGGCAACCCCGACAACACCGAGTTGCCGGCAACCTATGGCCGTTCCCTAAGAGACACTTAGACGATAAAGATAGATCAGAATCTCCACCACACTAGGTACTACTCATAGGGCGCTGAAACACGCGGAGACAAATTTCGAAGTCACGGAAATCTTAGCGCATAAATCACAAAAATCGGCTCATAAATGTTTAGAAGCATTTTGGATTCACGCCAAAAGCGCTAAAGTGAATCGTAAGGAAGAATGCCTGGCCATTACGCGTGAGCTCGCTCCCTACTTGGGTCAGATCTTCTGGCCCAGAGGAATCGTTACAAATATCCGTGGCATATGCGTTCAGTCATTCAACGCTCGCTCTGGGATTAGAACTCTGTCGGCGTTTTCAAAAGGCGAGTGCTTGGTTAGGCAGCTAATATAGATAAGTTCGGTTGCTTTTTCAGCTCTTACAAATGCTGTAAGCAAATTTTTGTCCAATGTTTGGTATCTCTAAGAAGAGAACTTCACAGGGTATTGGAGCATATATTCTGTTTGAGTAAAACTTATTTTCAAGGAAAAAATCCGCCAAGAAGTGAGAAAGCGCAATTTTCTTTCTTAATGAAACTTTTTTGAAGTGGCAGATCACAGTACTTTTTGTTGTTCAATAAATAGGGAAAGCCCCCTCTGTGTCCAAACTCCAAACTGCTGTAGTTTACATACATTACAGCATGAAAACGAAGCTTAGGAAGTCAATGAATTAAGCTTTTGGAAATTTCGCCATGTTGAGGCATAACTGTCTTTGCGGATAATAGAAAATCCTGATTATTTGATATGTGATAGAGAAAGCTTCGAACTACTTCCCCCCAAAGAATCATAGATTGAAAACAAAAAAAAATTTTTTTATGATGATTTTTATGTCAAAACGAACTTATTTTTTAGCCAACTCAGTACCAATCTACGAAGCCTTAGGCTTTGGCCATACTCTGCCCGTGTTGCCGATGTTACCAGTGTTACCGGTGTTGCCGATGTTTCCAGTGTTATTCGTGTTGCCGATGTTTCCAATGTTACTCGTGTTACCACCTTTATTGCTGTTGATTCTCGAAATTATCGCCAGTACAGTTTCATTCTTGAACGCAGTCTCACTGAGTGGTGAGTACAGTCTGCTCCAGTCGGGATCAGGCCGAACCGTCGGCGTAACTTTGCGCTCTCGCAGCGCTAGCGGTCTGCGCTGCATGTGCGCGCTATCGGAGAGTTTGATTTGTAGCACAATGAGCTCTAACGTACTGGCTAACGTTTTGGACGCCTTGATCGGACTTCAAGAAACCTCGTCTTCGGACGTGTCATCATTTTCGCGGCCGTATGTGAGAAGGGAGCACATTCCTTTCTTTGAAAAAAAAAATTTTGAAACTGAAACTAAAAAAACTGAAAGAAAAAAGAAAAAGAACTTTTTCGAAGCAGGTTTCTAGCATGGTATTATTATTGCAGTATGATCGCCTCAGGTCCTGTATACTCACCACTTAGTAAGACTACGTTCAAGAATGAAACTGTACTGGCGATCATTTCGAGAATCAACAGCAATAAAGGTGGTAACACGAGTAACACTGGAAACATCGGCAGAACGAGTAGCACTGGAAACATCGGCAACACCGGTAACACTGGAAACACCGGCAACACCGGTAACACTGGTAACATCGGCAACACGGGCAAAGTATGGCCAAAGCCTTAGAGTTTTGTTTGCATGGCTGCAGAGACGTTTGATCGAATAATTTGCGAGTCGTACTGTTCATTCCAGGCTCTGAAGAAGGCGACTTGCCGAAACGACAGCCAATAAAGTACAAACAATCTCTGGTCAAGGCTCAGAACCACAATTATTATAATTTTAACAATCTCCACAATATATGTCCAAGAACGCCGCTATAGGCAGTTTCTTACAAAGCACGCATTCTAAAATCGTTTGTTAGGAAGTTCTCGCAGTCAAGCAATAACCATTAAAGGAACAAATTTGCAATAAACTATAAAAACATCCATGTCAAACATTCGCAATTAATAACTGTGTCGAGATAATGAAGCATTACCACCGGCAATTTCAAGGAGTGAGCACAATGTATACAGCGGTAGAGGCGACCTCAACAACAACAATAAGTGTACTAGTACATGGACTACCGCATGCGCCGCGCGTGGAATTGAGAGTGGGGCACTGCAGCGCAGAACCCGCGTTTCGCAACGTATCTGCATACTTCAATGGCCCGGTCTTGTCAGCGTTCGCTTTCATTTCACCTTTCGCATGATTTTCTTAAGTATGAGTAGGAAACAGTGCTCATCAATTTATTACATAGATATCATCTCTGAGATTACGAGACTATATCGCTGTGCGCACGCGTATTGGACGAGCTAAAACTTGTCAATTATCTAGCTCTGGCATTCCTTGCTTTACATAGAAGTAAACGTCGGAGAAAGGACCTTCGAGTTTTTGATTTTCGGTTATGTCCTCCTTCATAGAGTCGTTGTAAAGACGTCACATTATATTTCCGTGATATTTGCAGAACGGTCATTTTCGCACTGTCTAAATGTGTTGGTCAGAAGAAAGCACGTTCAGTGATCAGTATGTTATTGTCTATTGTGAGAGTAAGAGACTCTGAACCTCTTTGCACACACTGTTCAAACATGCTTTATCTTGTTTTCCCCGGTTAGTAGTGAAGCATGCTGGGTGAGATAGGTCACGTGTATAAAGTTAACCAGGCGCGGTATGTATTGAACTCCTTCGGGTAAGTGTCACCGTGCAGGTCGTAATACATTCGGACGCTGGTGCCCAAGGCCCATGATGCGCGGACGTGGGCGCCTGACCGAGGAAGAGCGGCCAGGGGCGGTATGTATCAATCGCCCGTCCGGGTAAGTTACGCGCACACGTAGCTTCCGCTTCATAGCTCGGTGCTCTGGGGATCTGTGTCCTTGCTTGTCGCTCATATTTTGGAGGCTCTACTAAATTAAATTCGATGCAGCACAATGAATTGCCGCACTTTGTCGTTATTTGTATGATCCCGAACGGGATCTCCAACTGATCACGCTCATTTTCAAATTATTTATATCCGCAAAAACTCAATGAAAACGTCACAGAGTTTTGCTTTCGATCTATTACGACAGTGCTACGCATGTTTTTAGTAGCGCAGATGAAATGTGCAAGTTTTGAGTTTTTCGATAAAGCCCAACTCGCGAGCACAGGTTCATCGAAGGTTCTGTCAACTTGATTTTCCGCTTATATCTTTCACAAAGATTTACTGTAGCACATAAATCGATAGCCAAACTCTATGACGTTTTCATTGAGTTTTTGCGGATATCAATAACTTTAAAAATGAGCGTAATCAGTGGAAGAATGACGAATTATCCCAGCTTATACGGCAAAGTGCTACTCATTTGCTGCAATATTAAGGTAGCAGAGCCTCCAAAAGATGAACAAACAAGGAAGAACACAGATCTCCAGAGCACCGAGCTATGAAGCGGAAACTATCTGTCCGGGTAACTTACCCGGACGGGCGATTGATACATACCACCCCAGGAGGAATCGGGTCGTCTACAGTGCCTGGGCATCTACCCGATCTCGTTTGTGTTCAAATTGTGCGATAAAGCGCGTCTCTTTGATTAGGTGGCCGAAAAAGTTAGCAGAGATCGACGATTCAATCACCAGTCATCGAGTAAGATTTAAAAATTGTTATGTTGCAAGAGTTGCCTGATTTGACATTTGTTTGATTTAATTATGAAATTCACAAGATTCAAAGCCTGGACTGAAGAGAACGAGCTCTGAATCCTGTAGGTGATGACTAAGGCCTCGGACAGAGTTCACACGATTTGATCGTTGCGATTTAATCGCCGCGATTTCCATTCATTTTCATTTTACATTCTAAAAATTCGAGCTGGAAAAGTATCACAACCGAAATGCAAGCTGATCGGCATGCAATGAACTCGTAGTGATTAAATCGTCGATTTGCTAGCATTTCCGGCCACTCAAAAGAGTCACCTTTTTACGCATATACGCAAACAAGAACAGGGGTCCAGGCATTGCAGAGCTACCCGATTCTGCCTGAAACCTAAGGCACACTCGAGCGATTCTAGTCGCTGCGCGTTTCGGTACATAAGTAACTGTTCGTATATAATCGTTATTGCCCTTTGTTCGAACAGGACTTGGTTCGTTTGCAAGAACTTACAAAAGCTACGCGCCTATGTTTTTGAAGGCCGCCCACGACGAACGCGTGAAAATCTGGCAGAACGCCAAGTCCCGTAGACGTCGCGATTTTGTCAAATCGCATGAGGTATGCCTTAGGCCTGACCGGGCTCTGGCATGGTCAGGCGCCCACGTTCGCGTATCATGGGTCTTGGGCGCCGTTTGGCGAGTCTGACTGGATTACGACTTGTACGGGAACACTATCCGAACGGGAGATTGCTACATACCGCCCCAGATGTTCATACTTATTTAGACAATGTGTGCAAAGCGCTATCGAGTCGACATGTATTAACCTCCTCGCTGGGGAGGGGATCGCAGCTTCAAAAGAAAGCTTCATATCCTGAAGCTCCAGATATCTGAATTTCACGCTGTAAACCTATCCGCAAGTATTCTCACCTTCCTTCACTATGAATATATTGAACAGGAGCGAGAAGCTGTACAAGCCGCATTTTCCAGCACTTTGTATGATCCCCTGATGATCCCCGGCGGCCGACCGTCTTTTCTTCAAAGTCACTTTTCCTTCTTCGAAGTTAACGAAAATCTTCCAAAGTTGTACTGAACTCTGACAAACAGTGCTAAACATGTTGTTGATAAGAACAGATGAGTTTTTGAAAAATCGAGTATTTCGATAAACCCCAACATTCGACTTGTAGGTTCATCGCAAATTTCATGACTCCAATACCTCATTTTCTTATCACCAACATGCTTAGCACCGTCTGGCTAGATGAACAGTACAACTTTGGAATTTTTGCTGACTTTGAAGAAAGAAAAATGATTTCAAATAAAAGACGTTTGACCGCCAGGGATCATCTGGGGATCATACAAAATGCTAGAAAATGTGTACAGCTTCTTGCTCCTGTTCAATATATTCATAGTGAAGGATAGTAGGAGTACTTACGGATGGGTAGACAACATAAAATCCGGAAGTCCGGAGCTTCAGGATATGAAGCTTTCTTCGTAAGCTGCGATCCCCTCTCCAGCGGAGATGTCATGCATGCGGCCTTTAGTCTCAAAGTAATGGTAGATAAGTAGATATTGTTTATGGACGCAACACTTTTTTCTATTTCTTTCAAATCGGAACTTGGAATGAGGAAAAGAGTACGAATAATCTTGTACAGCTCATCATGCACCAACTGCTGCTACCCTCTGCGGGGCTTGTAAATAGCAGATGAGATCCCGCGCGACCGCCTCGCTTGGGTGCTCTCTGGTCATTCTCTCACCCTGAGCTTGGGGAAGGCCGCGTTGATGCTAACTAGTGAGAAAGTGATTGGATAGCACGCTCGCAAAAGAGGTGCGGAGCCTTAGTGAGGCGATCCCGCTGGGCTCAAGCTGCACGAGTGCTCATCACTGCGAATCATACAGAATATGCAATACAATACATCATACTCATCATACCCTGCTCTGCGTGGCTGCTGCGGCACGCATGGCTAACTGTTGGCAACATGCTACAACATCTTAACATGTCGGGGAGGCTAACGACCAATATATTGTTGCCAACACGTTCTTTCATGTTGCCAACATGTTAACATGCGTGCTGCAGGTCAGAGATGCAGAGCAGGCTAGCAACACCTGGTGAAAATATCTAAATTACCTGTTCTGGACGTAGAGGCACTTATTACTTTTGAGCACAGAAGGCGTACGAACTCGCCAGTCATCTTTGGTTTTCGTGCAAGAATTTTGCGGGTGGAGGACTATATGTCGCCGAATTTGGAAGAGTCCCGTGCGGATTCCCTGCAGGAACGCATGTCCGCGCATGTACAAGGGTGCGTATTTGTCGCAAATGACTGCGGGGATCGCCCTTTTTCGGTGACATATAGTCCTCTACCCGAATTTAGCATTATCACTGACTTTTCAGATGGTAGCGTCGGAGCTCACGGCAGGATTCACTCTCCCAAACAGTGGCAGCTCTGCAGCGCTATCAGCTATGCATCCACAGGAGGATGAAAAACTTTGGTGCAGATTCGCTATCTTAGCAGTCCAGCGTCTTTCACTCCAAAAGTTTTTTCTTTTCAGGACAAGAATATTGCAGGAAGTCAGTTCCAAATCTTCCTCGACTTTCCAAGGTGGAACACTCATCATTCTCGGTAATTTTGTTGATTTATCTTAGGCACTGACCAAACTTGTCATTGAGTCGGCAGAATGGACCTCTGTCAAATTTTGGTACTGTCAGGTAGCAGGCCTCCCAAGTACACCGTAGCCCGAACCCCACCCTCAAATCACATGCTAAGTTCTGTAAAAAAGCTCCAAAGCTCCACCAGCCCGTCCACTTCCACTGAGTGGGCGCTATTGTGGAAGTTTAAAGCTTCTTTACGAAACTTAGCGCGTGATTTGAGGGCGGGGTTTGGGCTACGGTGTACTTGGGAGGCCTGCTACCTAACGGTACCAAAATTTGACAGGGGTCCATGCTGCCAATCCGCTGCCTTCAAAGGCAGTGTCCGAACAAAGAGTCTATTTTATGCTTACCCGGGCCTATTCCCATGCTGATGCCGAAAATCCACATTAGAAAGCGCAAAAACGGCGAAAAAGGGCTCTAATACAGGAGGGAAACCAGAGGTGGGCGGGGTCCTCCCCACTGTGAATTCACGCTCCCAGCTTCTGGAGCGATCTTCTCGGTTCCAATTTGAAGTCAAGCGGGCGTACTTGGCCGGTGGAGATGTCAGTGCGGCTAGCGAAATCGATAAGATCGCTCCAGAAGCTTGGAGCGTGAATTCACAGTAAGGAGGACCACGCCCACCTGCTGATTTCCCTCCTGTGTTAGAGCCGCTTTTCGCCGTTTTCGCACTCTCCGATGTGCATTTTCGAATTCAGCGCAGCAAATAGGCCCGGAAAAGCACAAAATCTCAAGATCGGATTTTTGCCCTGACACTGCCTTTAAAGGCAGCGTCCAGACAAATCGCTCATGGGGATCTCACTTGGAGCGTAATCTTGGAGCCCTAACCAAGACACTGCACAGGCGGCAGCTCAAATGGTGAGCTCACAGTTGAGATATTCGCCTCTAAACTGGACCCCGGGATCATATTCGCATGGACTCATGATGACGCGACGCGTGAGGACCCACGCATGTCGCGCCATGAATTCATGCGAATTTGATTCCGGGGTCCAGTTTGAAAGCGATTATCTCAACGGTGACTTCACCATTTGAGCTACCGTTTGGGCAGTGTCTTAGTTAGGGCCCCAAAATAACTTTCCACATTAGAACCCCGTTTGTCCGGATTTGCCTGGACGCTGCCTTTAAAGGCAGTGTCCGGGCAAAAACTCGATTTTGAGATTTTGTGCTTATCCGGGCCTATTTGCTGCGCTGAATTCGAAAATGCACATTGGAGAGCGCGAAAACGGCGAAAAGCGGCTCTAACACAGGAGGGAAATCAGCAGGTGGGCGTGGTCCTCCTTACTGTGAATTCACGCTCCCAGCTTCTGGAGCGATCTTCTCGATTCCGGTTTCGTGTCAGTCATTTGCACTTGGCCGGTAGCTATGTTAGGACGGCTAGCGGAATCGAGAAGACCGCTCTGGAAGCTGGGAGCGTGAGTTCACAGTGGGGAGGGCCCCGCCCACTTGCTGTTTTTCTCCTGCGCTAGAGCCCTTTATTGCCGTTTTCGCGCTTTCCAGTGTGGATTTTCAGATTCAGCATGGCGAATAGGCCCGTATAAGCACAAAATCTCAAAATCGAGTTTTTGCCCGGACACTGCCTTTAAAAGCGCTCAAATTTCTCTGGTCTCTCTTACATTTCTCATCTCTCTCATCACACCACCCCGCGCTAACTTGCTAGACTAGCGCGGAACGCGTGTAACGAGAGTTGAGAGAATTGGATTAAGATAGATCAAAGAAATTTGAGCGCTTTAGCGCTCTTGAGCGATGTTTAGTCGGCGCCTTACAGAGATTTGGAACCGATTACATAGTGGGTTCTAGGCGAAAACCAATCCGGGAAATCATCTTTGCTTGCTAGACTAGAAAAAAATGAGAGCCAGTTGGAACGATCTGCCCTCGAATACCACTATTTGAACGTGCAGAATGATTTCCGAGATGGCAGTTATGCTTATCAGTTGGGTACAGCCGGCGCTCTTGGCCCAGCTGAAAACTTCAGCTTACCGGTAAGTGTGCAAATACAATTCTGAAATATTCTGAAAATTTAGAATATGTTGTCAAGTCTAGAAATTATTCGTTTTTGCACTTCACGTAACAGCTTTGGTTAGGTGTCAATAAGGTATTAGTACTCCATCAACCGCACAAATTGGCCGTTACTGCGAAGCAGACGACGCGAAGCCGTTTAACATCGATCGTCGCGAACACGGCCATCCATGCGGTCGATGATTCGATAATTGGCTGAACGACTCACAAGGGAATGGTCAATTAATCAAAGCGGTGAATCCAAACAGGCTGCATACCATTAGAATCAGCGTATGAAGTTAACTTCGAATGTGTATGCTTAGCGCCCATGTAGGCGAAGTTATGAGACTTAAAGGCCATTATTTTGCTAAGAAATCGTGCATGCAAAGCGCAAATTTGACAGTACAGAGTCATGTTTGGGTTAATGCTGGGTCAGAACATGCAGCTAGGTTACTCTCTATTTTTAAACCATAAAGGCAGCATGCTTTGATTGGTCACTTCGACTTCTGACCATTCCCTTGTCTGGCCTTTTTCAGTCTCAGTATAGATCTCATTTTTTTGTTGAAAGGGGTAAGGAACAGAAATTTTAAGCTACAACGTTGTACTCGTATGACCATATGGGTTTGCAATTTTGATATACCAGCCATTTTTATCGTAGGTATGGATGTTAGACGGGGAAGAATGTTTTGCGCCGTTGATCCAATACGCTTTACCAGTACCATCTCCTGCCAAGACCGTTGTTCTGCTGGTCGCTGCTTTGGATAATCCTAGTCAGTGAAGTGAAAAGCCTTTGACCATTTGTATTCGTACGAATTCTTTCAGGTTTGATCCATTCTATACGCCGTTGGGCAAATGTTGTAGCTCAGCAAGTTGTTCAAAAGTATGACAAGGCCACAATCACTGATGCTAGAAAAATGCGTACGCTAATTTTCCCTTAGTTTATTTGTTGTACCATTTACAGTTGTTTTCAAGAGGAGCGATTCTGGCAAGAGTATGTGGAACCCGTGGAATCTTCGATGACGTCATCAATGGCTCCTGGTGCTCTCGACGACACTGGTCTTCTTCCGCTCGAACAGGGAGTGTTGACAGAAAATTGCGGCGTCAGCTTTGTCGTGGTTATAACGAAAAGCGACCTCTGTAAGTCTTTGGCTCAATTCATATTATATACTAGCTGGCTTACCCGGCTCCGCCGTATCCGGACCAAACTTGGCACACATACACTTCGGGCCCCGGCGGGTGTCACAGTCCACTTTTCGTTATCGATCGATGTCGATTTTACCGATTTTTATCGATTTTTTTGCAGAGTTCACCTACAGGGCTAGGAGTTGGCACAGGGGGGGGGAAGTGAGCATGGGGATTCCGAATACAACATTAGTTTCCAGAATTATCGATTACTTTTATTGATTTTATCGATTTTTTGTAAATTTTGACATGCGAGGCTGGGATTTTGCACAGGGGGGTAATCGAGCATGCTGATTACGAACATAATATTAGTTTTCAGGATCGTCCATTACTTTTATCGATTTTATCGATTTTTTTGTAAAGTTTGACCTGCGGGGCTGGGAGTTTGCACAGGGGGGTAATCGAGCATGCAGATTACGAATACAATATTAGTTTTCAAGATCGTCCATTACTTTTATCGATTTTATCGATTTTTTGAAAATTTGAGCTAGGGGACTGGAATTTGGCACAGGGGTGTAATATAGGCACCCCTGTGCCAAATTGCCAGCTAGGGGGCTGAGAGTTGGCACAGGGGTGTAATCGAGCATGCTGATCATCCCAAGGGGGATGATCAGCATGCTCGATTACACCCCTGTGCCAACTCTCAGCCCCCTAGCTCAAACTTTGCAAAAAAATCGATAAAATCGATAAAAGTAATCGATAATCCCGAAAACCAATATTGTATTCGGGATCCCCATGCTCGATTACCCCCCTGTGCGAACTCCCAGCCCCGTAGCTCAAACTTTGCAAAAAAATCGTTAAAATCGATAAAAGTAATCGATAATCCTGAAAACCAATATTGTATTCGGAATCCCCATGCTCGATTACCCCCCTGTGCCAACTCCCAGCCCCGTAGGTGAACTCAGCAAAAAAATCGATAAAAATCGATAAAATCGATATCGATCGATGACGAAAAGTAGCCTATGACACCCGCCCGGCCCCGAAGGGTATGTGTGCCAAGTTTGGTCCGGATCGGTTGAGAAATAAAATTTTCTATTCGGAACATACGTACATACATACATACATACAGACATACATACAGACAAACAGACATTCAGCTTTATATATAAGATTTTTATCCCTGTATTTTTTCATGGCTTAACCTGCACCGGGAGTGGGAATTTTGGTGTGTTACGATTTTAACTTTATTTGTTGCCAGCATGAAAATCCATTGTTTGTGTAAATTCTGTTCGGAAGTCTAACCACGACTGTCACGGCTGGACATTTTGACATATCACTAACTAGCTGACATAGAGGGCTTCGCCCGTTCCTGTCTGCTTCCACTAGGTTTTACTAATTAGCATGGTCAGTCACACCCTGTCAACTTCCAGCCCCGTAGCCCAACCTTCGAAAATAATTGACAGAGGCAATCAATGAGTCAAGAACTAATGTTGTATTCGTAATCAGCTTGCTCACTTATTCTCCATCTCCCCTGTGCCACCTCCTATCCGCGTAGCTCACACTTTGCAAAACATCGGTATGATAGAGATGATCGATCTGTAAACTGAATTGTATTCGTAATCAGCATGCCATTCCCCCTTCTATGTTAACTCCCGGTCCAGTAGCTCGCACTTTGCAAAAGTCAACTCGATATCGATCGTTAACGAAGAGTAGCCCCTGATACCCGCCCCCCCCCCCCCAAAATGGTTGCAAAGTTTGGTCCGGATCGGCTTATTGTTAAAAATAGAATATTCTATCCGAACCATACTACAAGACAGTTGGACATTCACCTTTATATACAAGATTTTACCATATCTGTTGTTCGATGTACATCTATCCCGTGCATTACTCACAGGCAATGACCTCACCGATCAGCAAGCGGATAGGATCCTCGTGCAAGTTCGAAGACTCTGCCTGCAGCTTGGTGCTGCTCTTGTTTACACTAGTGCTAAGAACGTTAAAAACATCCAGGTAGGAAACGCAATGGTGCAGAAAGGTATTTCAGTTGTTAGTGGTGTTGCAGATCCTTTACAAATATATAGTACATCGTGCATATGGATTTCCGTTCACTACCACAGCGCAATTGATCGAACGTGACTCAGTTTTTGTACCTGCTGGCTGGGATGGAGAGAAGAAAATCGAAATAGTGAAGGTGCGCTGAAGTTTGACTGTGCTAACAATGTTTACGTGGCTGGTCGCGACATTTTTAAAAGCTGTTTGCATACATACAAAATTGTCCAAGTCACATAATTCTGTAAAAAAAATTTTTCTTTTCGCGCGCGCGCTCCCAATGATGGTGGACTAGGCTATCACAGGCTTCGAAGGCACTGTTCCAGTTGAGTGTGGTGATGAAGTATGCTGTATACTACCAGGGCTCCTTTAAGAGCAGCGTCCAGGCAAATCTAGAGCTATGGGGATTTTATGTAAAGTATTTTTGGGGCCCCAACTAGGGCACTGCCCAAGCGACAGCGCAGGTGACTCACTGACGACTGACCAGGGAAGACACTTTGGTCGAAGTGACCATATGGAAAGTGATGCATATGGATAGACAGCTCTTCGAACGCTGATCTTAAAACTACTTTCGATATCTGCGGAGCGTTTCTGTAAAAGGAGTTATTTTGTTCTCCCCAAAAGCGGCCTTCCCTTTATGAAGGCGCGGCAAGGCATTTCCGTTGTGGCGGCATGGTGTAGTGGTGAGTGCCTGCGTTTTACAGGTGAGTGAGCAGGGTTCGAGTCCCGTTCTCGCCCAACAGTTTTGCATTTTTCTAAAATTTTTGCTCCCCTCTGAAAATGCCGCACGTGGACAATTTATCGCAATTCTCGCAACAAGTGATCAATTGGCCTATATTTGGAGAATGTGGTAATTGCTTTAGAGCTGAGGAGTTTGTTGTAACAGCTATTACATATACACAGAATTTTTAGCCGCAAAACTATGAGCAGATATGGTAACAATCACAAAATGTTGAAAGCAAAAATACTAACTTACTTGTAGCTAAAGAACTGTTTCAGTTGCGAGATCTGCGATAAATTGTCCATATGCGGCATTTTCAGAGGCAAACAAAATTTTTAGAAAAATGCAAAAATGCTGGGCGACAACAGGACTCGAACTCTGCTCACTCACCTGTAAACCGCAGGCTCTCACCACTACACCATGCCGCCGCAATGGAAATGCCTTGCCGCTCCTTGGTAAAAGGAAGGCCGCTTTTGGGGGAGAACAAAGGCTCATAACTCCTTTTACAAGAACGCTCCGCAGATAGCGAAAGCAGTTTTAAGATCAGCGTTCGAAGAGCTGTCTATCCGTATGCATCACTTTCCATATGACCACTTCAACCACACTTTCCATATGACCACTTCGACCAAAGTGTCTTCCCTGGTGAGATATACGCCTCCAAACTGGGCCCCGGGATCGTATTTCGCGTATATTCATGCCGCAATCCATCAGTTTCGCGCTAGGACCTACGGATTGCGCCACGAATCCATGCCAAACACCAGGATCCAGTTCCGAGGGGAATATCTCAGCAGTTAGAGCACCGCCTGAGCTGCTGGTTTGGCAGTGGGCTTAGTTAGGGCCCCAGAATTACTCTCCACGTGAGATACCCATATGTCCAGATTTGCCTGGACGCTGCTTTTAAGTAATCGCTCAAGTCCCGTTGCAGAAGATGTATTCTGCATCAAGAAAATCACTCCAAAACGTAGAAGTGGCGATGAGTTTGAATATAGCAAGTCCAAAACTAGGTTTCGAGATGGATGATTTGACGATTTAATATGATGAAAGGCGATTTATGACAATTTCAGATACATTGAAACACAGTTTTGGACTTGTTATCCCCTCCCACCCAGTGTTGGGCGGATGCACCGCCCTTTTTTCTTATGATACGATGTTCTCGTTCTCGCTTAATTCACCTTTACAGCGGGATTTGAGTGATACTCACTCAGGCTGCTGCTATCATACAGCATCAAAATCTCACAATCCTCAATTTAGGTGTGAGTGCCTTTCAACCTGGATAACTCTTCTGTTGGATGAATAAAGTAGCTTTATTCATATTGTAGGAGGGAATTCCTGACATTGATAATGTGCTTGAACCTACTCGAGAGAAGCCCACAATAATAAGAGAGCAACTTGTGGAGGCTGAAGATGAACAAGTAACAAAATTACAACTTTTGATTATTGACTAGTGTTTCTTTCATTGACAAAGGCATAATCCAGATTTTTCTGCAAAGACTAGCAGCCGCAGAGAGTGCTGCACCGGCAGCTCAGAAAAAGTCAACCCTTCTCGATGATGCAGCGGATAATAAGACACCACTATCAAGTTTCTTTTCCAACCTTCTGAAGGTACCTGGTTTCCTTCTTTCATTGCATGTTGGTTCCAACGAAGTTTTTAGGATAAGCCAAACGTAATAAGGACGTCCGCACCACCTCCTCCGGACACTGCAGTGCAGCTTGATCGTATACTGAAAAGTGCAACCGGACAACAAAGTCAACCGAATACTGACAGTTCTGCTTGAAAGATGAATTGTCTGTGCTGTATTGCAGTGTGCACAAGTCTGACTAATCATGCTAATCAATTTTATTCAACGATAGTAACCATAATAAATGTATAATCTGCAAGCATCATGTCACAGTAAGTGCAATCACGTCGATTTCTTAATTATAAGATGTATAGATGTATTCAGATATGGCAGTAAATTTAAGCGAAAGAAATTATAAGGAAGCATCGCAAGGCTGAATGTTCTACTCGTCATTGTTAATGTGGCTGTCGCTAATTGTTACGAAGACTGTAGATCTGATAGAGAAGCGATGCAGATATGAACAATGTTCATGTACCCGATCACAAAAATTATCAGACTATGTTTACAAACTTGTTACAATGTTACCAAAGCTTACTCGGAAAGCACCCATAAGGTGGATTTGGTGGATTACAGAAGAGTTGAGTGATGAGGGGAAATCTCAATTAAGAGCACTACCAGTTCATAAATTAAGGCATTAAATCCATTGTCGAACGAAGACAATGAGATCAAAAGCCATATTGCCCGTGCTGAATAACATCAACCTAGGGCATCGGTTAAGTTGCATGATCGCAAGGTCCGGGCAGATTCGGGAGCAATCAGTCTCAACATTACTTAAGCGGGCTGCCTAAGAAAACCATAGCCCAGTTGTGACTGCAAATATTGTTTCTGAGGTGAGAAAGCAGCTTCAAAAGTTTGAACAGAAACCTTCGGTCATCGAAGCAGGAAACCGCGCTCGGACACGGCCGTTGCGACGCTGTCATTCTGCAGCGGCATGTCCTGCCATAACTTCCTGGTTTGAAGACCAAGGAACGTATCCGTTTGAGCCTCTGAAGCGATTTTCTCGCTGCAGAAGTATTATTTAGCAGTCGCAACCGGACTTTCGTTAGCATGGGCAGCCCTCTTCAGTATGAGATTGACTGCTCTCAAATCTGCCCGGACACTGCCTGTATGGAACTCGCGGATTCTACGATGCAGCGATTGTTCATAGTTAGTCGTTTTTGCATTAAACTCAGGTCGCTTACTTTTGTTCCGTTACAAAATGTATAGGCTCTATAAGCCAGCATCGGTCTCGCGCCAGTATGATCTGCGACGACGTACCGTCGCATGCGACGTGCCTTAACGCGTAGCAAGGTTCACACGCGTTACACCGCAGTCCCAAGTTGCCGCCGCGACGTCGCATAACCGATGCTGGCTGGTACAGCTTATATGGTAATGACTGCTACCAAAATCAACGACAATGAAAAGAAGCTCAGTGCAAAATCGACATACGGCAGAGAGCGAACATTTCCAAATTACAAATTATATACCCATTCTCTTCGTTTAGAACAAGTTGTGATGGTAAAATGAGACTGGTCATCGGTTATACAGCATTAATATTGCTCTCAAGGACTTTCAGACTATGGCAAAAGTCCGAATACTTTCCGCATACCAAGTTTATCGATTGAATATCCTTGCCATATCAGCTACAGAGCGTCGATTATTTGCATTTTCATCGCTTGTACCTGCCTCAGTGACTAGTGAGTTAGAGGAAGGAGCATTTCGAGGCGAAGGTTTGGGAGGAAGAACAGGTGGAACAGCAGGGAGACTCCTATAAAACATATTTGTAAAAAAAATAATAAAAGGTTTGACCATCTCCGGCACATCAGGTTTAAAGGCAGTGGCAGTCCAAAAACTTTTCTCGGGAAGGGGCGCGACAAAAATTATTCTGAATGGGAAGGTGTGGCGTAAGGCCCTGGCCAGACTTCGCACAAAAGCGCGCAAAAGCGCGCAAAAGCGCCCAAAAGCGCGCAAAAGCGCCCAAAAGCGCGCAAAAGAGCGCAAAAGCGCGCAAAAGCGCCGGAACGCCCCCCTCCAAGCCTGCATCATCAAGTTAGGCGTGAATAAATGTGCACGCGCGCATCGACGGTGATCTCACACCAAACACCAAAAATATTTTATTTTACGCCTCCGAACCAAATCTCGTTATTTCGCAAAAAAAAGCGCAGAGCCAAAACTAGGCAGAGAAAGAGAAAAGCCATGAAAGACTCACCTAATATGCGGCGATGGAAGCAAAGGACGATTTGAGCGAAATAACGAGATTTCGTTCGGAGGCGTAAAAAAGAATATTTTTGGTGTTTGGTGTGAGCTCACCGTCGATGCGCACGTGCACATTTATTCACGCCTAACTTGATGATGCAGGCTTGGAGGGGGGCGTTCCGGCGCTTTTGCACGCTTTTGGGCGCTTTTGCGCGCTTTTGCGCGCTTTTGTGCGAAGTCTGGCCAGGGCCTAATTGGTATGGCATGCTCAGATGTTTTCGCGTCTGTACCCCCAAATTTCAAAAAAGTAGCGGCAAGTTAATTGAATTTCCAAAAAACAAATATTCTATTATTAGTGAAAAGAAGTCATTTGCATATATTCATAACTCATGTAAGAAGCCATTTCCATATCGCTAGTCATTCTCGGGAGAGGGGGGTATTTAACATCCTGCAGTTCGATCACATATACCTCATTCGATGTGGCAAAGGCGGTGGTGAATCCTCAGCTCCTCGAGTTGATGATGATGGACCTGGTGAACTCAAAGAGGAACTGTGTCCAGGAGAATCCGGCTTTGGTGACATTGCTCTATCAGCAGCGGATCGAAGCACTGCTTGCGACAAGGCAGCTGCATCGGGTAGCATCGCACGGAAACCGGCACGTTCGGATGGATGCTAAACATGCGGTGAATTGAGAATCAATATTTGCGAAGTTGTCTGAAGGCCCGTCTACAGTCGAGTAGATTTCCTGCTTAATATAGTGTCCCTGCTGACGCGACAACGCTGGAGCGTCAATGATTGCCTGACGAGTTCCCGAGCTAGGTTTTCCAGTGTTTTCTTTGCTTATTCTATGCTTTTTAGGTGATTCGTTGCTGATAAAGAATAAAAGGGTGTTAAAGAGTAGATTCTGTTTTCTGAGAAGTTCTATCATCGCATATTCACAGATATCCACGTGGAAGCAGTTGCTTCTTGTCTATTTTTTTGTTACTTCATGTCTCTTTCTTCTTGTGAGGTACTTCTTTGAACGCTAATGGGTTTTTACGATTGACTTATTGTCTTTATCGCGTGAAGTACTTGACTAAAATGCTAATTCTCATGGATGAAATCCGAAGTTGCTGCAAGATAAGCTAACTAGCGTTCAAAGAAACGCCTCACAAGAAGGAGGAAAGAAGAAGTGACAGAAGAAAAGGAAATGACAAAAAAAAATAGACAAGAAGCTGACGCGAAATGCTTCCACGTGGATATATGTGAATATGCAATGATAGAACTTCTCAAAAAACAGAAACTACTCTTCAACTTACCCTTTTCCTCTTTATCAGCAACAAACCAACTAGAAAGCACGAAATAAGCAAAGAAAACACTGGAAAACACTGGCTCGGGAATTCGCAAGGCATTTATTGACGCCTCAGCGTTGTCGCGTCTGCAGGGACACTATATTAAGCAGGAAATCTACTCGACTGTACCTAAATCTGAGACTGTGGAATTCTGATGCAGACAGCGGGGCCCCTGACTGGCTGCCCAACTTCAGGGCAAAAGGCGTGCTTCGAAGCAAGGAAATCGGTCCAGAATATGGGTGCAGGGATCGCCACGTTCATCAACATGCGTGGTCTAAGGTAATGAGCAAAAACTGGACTACATACCTGAGAATGTTGAAAATATGTTTCTCACAATGAAAGGGAATTTTCGACATTCCTAGGTACTACTGATCCTGAATTCGGACTCATTACCTTATACGCCACCCTTTTGTGGGGCGTGGCGACCCTAGCAGTATCCGCCTTCTATAGCGATGTTCTTGCTTCGAAATACACTTTTTGCCGTTGGGCTTGGGCAAATAATCATACAGGCAAAGGCCTTACTATGACGCATCAAACCTCACAAATCTTGGATTTCGATAGACAGTGCTTTTCTCGTCTTGTTCTATCACCTTTTTGATCGCCATATCATTGCCACAGCCACTATCTTCGCTTTTGGTTGACTGCGATTCTTCCTCGATATCACTGCTGCGACTCATAGGTGTTTCGTCGTTGTTGCTTTGGACTTTTCTTGCTGAAAGACATGTAGTCAGCTTTGAACAACTGATCATCACTTCTACCTTGTCCAGAAGTTCCTGGTCTCCTTTGTAAACGAGGACGATATTTTTGTAGGTGAACTAGCGTGGAAGGCTGAGGAGGCAAATCTAAGGATATTCCAGGTTCTTCGTCTTGTATGCTCATTGAGGAATGCAGTTCCCCGATGATGCTACGTGGTCGACCAGCTTCAACACTACTGAAGTCATATAATTAGGACAAAACATACCCAATGCAACAAATCAAACCGTGGCATGTTCGGAGACATAAACTGTCTCGGAGACCCATTTTGGGATGCGCTATTATTTGAGATTTGATCAGCAGAGGATCCGATTCGTTCCACAATCATTTCACTGCGCTCACACAGCTCATGCCATTTCCAATCACTGGTGAAGGGAAAAGTACGCAGGCGTCTCTTAACTCCCAAAAAATGATATACCTGTAAACCCGTTTGATGTCGTCCATCCACAGTTCTTTTAACCTACGCAGGGCTAGGTGTTCAGCCTTCCCACTAGTTTTCGCAGAATCTCCACAGTCACAGCGGAAACTCGTGATTGAATCTTGTAGATTCAACAGGCATTCTCGTCGTGCCTGAAATGGATAACATTGGAGAATTTGCAAGAATGTCATTCATGAAAAAAGGAAATTTGGATTTGTGGCACTTCTTACATAAACGCCTAACTGAGACGATTTCACTTCAACATGACTAAAATTGGACTCGAATTCACATAATGAATTTCACTGTAACATCTCGTTTTGTTTTTTTATGAAACACCTTGAATGTACGAATGAAAATAAAAGCAGGAAAATATCACGAGAAATCTCAGAATGACGGCCTAACCTGCTCGACAAAGTCATCGACCATTTCCTCCAAACGATGAGGAAATGGCTCTTCTGCTGCATTAAAGAGGGAGTCTCCCACAGCATTCCATTTCTCAAGATTAGCTAGATCCAAGGCCTGCAAATGCTGCTGTGGGGCGAAATAAGTCGGAGACTTGTACATAACTCCAAAAGCCTTCGGCCTTAACAGCCTTCGCTCAAATGGCTGCTTAGAAATGGTAATAACAGGAAAAATTTAGAAAAAACACCAAAGTCAACAGCTGACCTGAGCTGCAATGCGGAAATTTGCTAGATCGGAGTTGGCAGGCGATCTGTTTCGTTCTAAACAAGCTGCAATCTGATTCATAGCAGTCAAGATCCTTGATCGGTCACAGCCTGCTCTGGTCAAGCATTCACATACGTCTTGTACGGGGTACGTGATGCAGATTATTGTCCTGTTTCTGAAGCGAACTTCTATATAATGATGATTTCTTACTAAGAATGTCATAAAAAGCAGCTTTTCAAGATGCTGACCAACCCCGAGGACCCTGAGGCAAGTATACTAACTTGATCCTACCCTTTGTAAAAAAGATATAGATATGTATCGGCACGGAACCTAAGCCTCAAATTTGCATTCGTTATCTGCTGAATGTTCTATGATAAAAAACAAAAATTACATGAGTTATCCCCTCAGGTCCCAGACAGACTTCACGCAATTTGATCGTCGCGACTCAATCGCCGACATTTCCATTCATTTCCATTCCACATTCAAAAATTTCGAGCTGGAAAAGTATCACAACCGAAATGCAAGTTGACTGGCATGGAATGATGTTGTAACAGTTGTCTCGTCGCGATTCAGTCGCGACGATCAAATCGCGTGAAGTCTGTCCGGGGCCTTAGACGAAATATTTTGCTTTCTGAGTTTTCTTCGGAACTCCTTGAGGAAGAGTTGGAATCAAGTAAAAAGATAAAAATCAGTATGGGTACTATATATTTAACCTTAGTAATTCTCGACCACTTTTTAGCATGATGCAAAACGAACTGTTCGCAACAGGGTTCAAACCTTCGACCTAATAATAAACAGTCTATGAAGCGCCACATTTACCACACTACCCGCCCACCTTCTACTAGTTCTCTTTTGGACACACCTAGAGCCCGGCCTGGTGTTGTATTTGGTCATTTCACATCATTTCAGCTGGCGCTCTGACCGCGGAAGTCACTCGTCCATGGGGTGGGCGGGTTCGGAGAGGACAGGAGATGAGCGCTGCTTTCGCTTTGAAATTTCGGGGGTTAGAAGTGGCAGAGAAAGATCGAACTTTGGCCCATAGGTTCCATTATGGGGGCTCCTACCCTGTGCTTGTTTTGCCACGGGTTTCATTCTTCCGACCTACTGTCTTTAAAGGCACCGTCCACCCAAAAGCTCGAATATAATGTTTTTGTTGCCTTCAGGCCTTCTGATAGCCCTGATTCCGAATATGGAGTCGAAAATCCGCGAAACCCCCAAAAATCCTTGTTTCGAGAACCCTCTGCAACACAAGCGCAGGCGAGATAAAGCATGCAAGTGGGCGGGCGACCGGGGTCGCCCCGCCTACTTTGCTACTTCCGGAGCGGATTTCTCGCTCCAGAAGCAGTCTTTTGCGGCGAAGCTTGGAGGTTTGTCTAGTATGGGGGCCCAGACTAGTATGCCATCATAATCTCGCCAACCTCCATTTTGGGTGGACGGTGCCTTTAACAGTTACTTCGTAAAAAAGCCGCATCCTTATTTCACGGACACCTTTTGAGCTTATCAGAGTGGGTGGGTAGGTGGGCTAAAAGTCTGATGCTAGTACCCACTACATTCTACGACTTTAACTGAAAATCTGGGAAAAGTGCTGTAAAAATAGTTACTAAAGTCATTTCGGAGGTATTTTCATCTTTCAAATGCACGATTTGAACTAGATTCGTTTCCTTAGAGAAATTCATGAGAGCTCCTGCTGTTCATAAATACAAAATATATCAGAGCCAAACTTTGCTCCAGCATTTTTGAACTCCAAATAACTTCCCGTTGAACGAGGACTACATAGAGTCGAGTAGATTCATCGGTAAACATAGTGTGCTTGCACAGAAGGTGAAATGCGGTGAAATTCGCGCGTGAACAAGTAGCCACGCCAGCACTGCGGGAATCTTGCGCGCGCAATTGGCCGGCGTCACAGTCGAAGCTATTTCTTCAAGCGCAAATTTTACCGCATCTCACCTTCTGTGCAAGCACACTATATTTACCGCTGAATCTACTCGACTGTACTTTGCATTAGTTCCTATCGGAGCTAAGCCACCCACAGATGTTTTCCAAGAATCTCTCTATAGTTGCTTCCCAACTTTCATGTCACCATGGACCAACGACATGAAACAAAGAGACGTACATATTGAGAGCTGTGGCCAGGTCACACAATCCTTCGACACCAAGATGGTTGTTGTCAATTACGATCGCACGCAGTGAAGTGTTCAGTTCTAATCCCTGCAATTGAAAGAGCTCTCACCATCGTTTATGAATGGGCACAAACATCGATTATGATAAACGAGCGAGATGAGCAAAAAGGGCACACCTTAGAAAGAATTCTCGCTCCAAAGTGTCCCAAATCGTTGTTCGATATATCAAGAAAACGAAGAGATGTTGCGGCTCCAAGCGTATTCAAGAGCACACTGAGATGAGGACCGAGTCTGGCATCTGACAGCACCAACTCTTCAAGAGGCTGTAACGAGTATGATACTGATAACAATGAAAAATAAAGCTATTCAGATTGCTCACTGAATCGTCCGAAAAGAGTTTCACAACGTCAAGAATTGTTCTGCTTATAATCGCAGCATGAGCCTGTTTCGATGATCTGCGCAGAGCTAACAGGTTAGCACCTCCTATATCAAGACGACGCAACGTTTTTATGTTTCCAAGAGCATGTATGACCACCTAAATCCGTATATCCTCCAAGTCAAATCATGTATTTCCTATTGACGAAACTCGTCAATCTGCTGCAAAACCAGAACGAAACTTTTGGAAAGGCAGACTGATCTGATTAGACTAATTTAGACCTATTCCAAAGGTATAGCATCAAAGAAGTTTTTTGAACATCATGTGGTCAAAAGCAAAGTGGTGACTTAGAATCGGCAAGATCAGAGTCAATACCTGCATTTCACCTTCCAGATTATTATCCCTGAGAGAAAGACTATTGCACTGGATTCCTGCCAAACAAGCCTCCAGTACTGACGCACTTGACTTGTCGCAAGTCCCACTGATATCCAGATGAAAAGGTTTCAGCTAAAAGTTGGAAGTAATGCTAAAAATAAATTTACAAAAGTGATCACCTGTTGATTACTAGCAAGTCCAAGCAGCATAGCCTTCATCATCTCTGCTGGTAGCAGTGTATTTGCAAAGCTCACGTGTGAAAGATTTACAGCCATAGAGAAATACTCTTTCACTAACTGAAGAAGGGAAATTAACAAGTAAAGAAGAGAATGGACTGCTACCTGGACATAATCCGTTGGTTTCTTCCCTGCATGACAACCACCAAGAAGTAACTTCTCAAGTTGAAGACCACCGTACTTCAAAGCAGCCCATATCTTATCCAAGGGAAATAGAGAATCCGTCAAATCCAACACTCGCATTGTGGTACATAGCGATACCACGTTCACCAATGACGATACCTAGAGGATCAACATGAAAGATCGTTGCTTAGCGAAGGTTGAAACCAGTTCTGGAAATCATCCAAACACCACTGAACAACTTTGGTTGCGGCTACAACGTTGAACCGTTAAGCTACTTCAATGCTTTGCAGCTTTCATATTTTTGTGTTTCCAATCAAGCGCTTGGTTTGCGACAAGCTGCCTATTACTCGAAAAGCTCTCCTTGCTCTACAAGAGATCTCTGGTTTCGCGAAAAAAAAAAACACTTCCCAACTTCAGTCATGGGATAAGATGCAAAAAAACAGTCACTTTTAACATCTATACATTCCGAGCAAGCCATATCTTTTATTTACACAAAATCGATGCATGCACGCACGTCGTCTTTGAAGACATTGCTGGATAAGTTGAGGTTTGTCAGATTGCATACAACGCCGCAGTTAGATTTCGCTGTAAGACCTCTGAAATATTGAGTTGATTTGGTGATAAACTCACCATAGACATGAACTTACGAATAAATTCCACAACAAAAAAGTTGTGAGCACTTTTCACTTAACCCGCATTCTGAGAAATTCACTTCACGAAGAGTGGTGAGCCGCGCAAGGATGTTTGACAGGATGATGAAACCTGAAAGAGATGCATTCGATAACTTGTCTGATATTTGAATCACAGCACTGTGAAAAGTTCTTCTCGAAAAGGTGGCGCGAACTTTTCCTGCAGTGAATGATTAATTTCAAAGGAGGCGTTTCCAACGAGAAGTATACTTACACTGTATACTACCTTTGAATGCTGATCCAAAAAACAAGCATGCAGTCGCACTGTGAGAGCCAGGCTCATTCTAATATGGCGAAAAGGCTTCGAGATCATCATGTGAGAAAGTATGCAGAGAATGACGAGGTAGATGAATCAGCATGTTTGCACAGACCTTTTTTGTCATCTAGAACATTTTTCGAAAGATTGATTGTCTCCAGAGGTAACGCCAAATTTTGTTGCAAAGCCGAAGCAAAGAGTGTGATAAAGTCTCTGAAAAGAAAAAATTACAGGAACCAATTTGTTTCACACAACATTTCTACCTTGGAAGAGCGCAGTTCCTCAGCTGTAGATGGTGTAAGTAGCGAGATTTTCGAATCACTGACAATATAACATCTATGAGTTCAGATGTCATTCTGATACCATCTGCTGCAAGCCCCGTAAAGTAAGAAGAATATTGCAACACTCCCGTGATCGGTAACAAATCCCTGAAATTACCACTGACGTATGGAAAGCTATCGTGCAACCAACTTTGGCAGCAAATGTGAGAAATCCTCTATGCGTAGACAATGGAGTCTATTGACGGCATATATTTTTTCGACGTCCTTAATGGATAAATTACAATTTACGCAGTTTGAACCAAACATTAATTATACCCAAGAAACTTCGTCTCTATATGGCTGATCGTAGAAGTCACAAAGAGCAGCATACGTCCTCCTGAAAGAATGGCATGCTCTAGGGGGAGCATCTCCACTCATAGTCGTAAACTCGTCGTAATAACTTTCTGGAGCAAGCTCAACTATAGATCGCAGCTGTGCACCTGAAATCATAATTAATAATATCAACCTGAACCGGGATCTGCTCAGAACATTAATGGAATAAGCTGCTAGAGCAAAAACTCACCAATATCCGGGAAATATCGAAGGAAAGCTGCAAGTATATGTCTGACCATAGCAGCAGAAGAAGCCTGTGAGCTTTTGATAACAAATCGCTTTCTATGCCCACTTTCATCAAAGGTAACAGCCAGCTATAAGATGCAACTGATGTGAGTGCCAATATGGGTTATTCTACCGACCTCATCGCTATTCAAGACGTTCATCGACTTGATACTGAGAATGTGATAACTCTTGTCGATTTTCAGAGATGATGGTGATTTACCGGTGAGGAAAAACAAACGGAACTTCGATATGACGAAAATTCTCGCCTCGAATTTGTCACCTTTATACGATAACTCCGCTTGTAAGGCCACTCGATAATCAAAAAACTTGTTTCCCAGCACACTTGACGGTTTTTCTATAACAAGACGTTATGAAGAAAGCAAGCAAAGGGAGCCATGATCACAAAACTCAGAGAATGGGCTTCCACGAGACCGATTTTTACGAAGCCAGTGGGTCTCGGAGCCCATTATAAGCAGTGTCCGAGCAAAAACTCGATTTCTAGAAAATCCACTTATCGGGGGTTATTTGCAACGCTGAATCCGAAAACCCACATTAGATGGAGCGAAATTGGCGAGAACATGCGTTTTCCAAAGCCTTACAATTTCAAATTCGACTCCCCGCCAAGGCTCACAGAGTCTCTGCGGGACCCTACGATTTCGACTGTGGCGGCATGCGTACTCTGCCGCATAGCAGGAATTCGGAGTCGGAGGACCCCGCCCCAAGGCGTAAGTCTCCCCACTTTCCGGTCGTTTTTCTTGCTTCGGATCGAGCATTATGACGTCGCAGTTGCGCGATGTTGTGTCTGAGGGGGGCCACTCTCGCTGGCACTGGAATCCCAAAACCCCCACCTTGCCCGGACACTGCCTATAAGTTGAATCTGCTCACTAGATTTCGGAACACATGAGAAGCCACACAGGTATTCACAGACACTAGAATACCATGACCTCCACGATTTCCGCAACCTCAGTAAGCTGACTTTACAATTGAAATGCAATATTACTTTTTCCCAAATACATGCTCTCGGTAAACCCTCGTCAGCTCTATTGGGTTCAATAAGTAAATGTAAACCCCTTAATTACCAATATGTGCAATACTGCGCATTACATCACACCCACTATATTATATTAGGGGAGGCACGGGGAGAGGGGAGGAGCTTTGAGAGCTAGCATGAGTTAGGGGAGGAGCAGAGGCGACTGTCTACTTGGGGATCTACCTCCTAATACCGTCAAAAATCTGGCGAAGGTCCATTATGCCAAACTACTGCTTTGAAGCATACAGTGTGTCCCGGCCAGCTTCCCATAGGTACCTCCTCGACGCACATACCCGCACTGCTTTCAGTGCTCTTTTTGTTCTAACCTTTAGTTGGAATTTTCGCGCTTTTTTCCCTTGACTGACTTTGTTGTTCTGTAATCTCCTCATTTTGGGTGTGTAGGGGACTCACAACACTGCTAGTAAAGATCATGTACAGGGTTTGTCAATTGCAGTGTCGGTGCACCAGCATTTCTACTCCCGCGCGGGGCTCTGCATCTCTTCCGCGAACATGCTCTCTAATCATGTCCATTTGATTGAGCTCCGCCTATTTCACGCTCGCGGTGGGGAAGAGATCAGAGAGCATGTTAGCGAAAGAGGTGCAGAGCCCAGGCAAAGCGGCCGGGCGGAAGAGAAGATGGTGGCTGGTGCTCCCAACATTGCATTTGATAAGCCTTGGCTCTTTGAGAAATGTCTTCATAACTTCTTATCTTTTTTACGATGGTGAAGATTTGAATGAATGGAAACATCTTCTTAAAGGCAGCGTTCCGGCCTTCTTTTTGATAGATGTTTTTTCTTTCTGATTCGTACTCGAGGAGAAAATTGCCATAATTCTAGTTTTTTGATGCGTCCCAAGCTGCACCCAAAATTTTCAGAAATCAATACTTCGAGGAGGTATAAAATCATTTTTTTGTTAAATTTAGTGATTGATCATAGTCAATTTCCCGAAATTCCAATTCGCGAAGAATTCATAGTGTTTGAAGGTACGTTTTACGACTTCGCGAATGTGAAGACTGTTGGAAAACATGTTTTTGAAAATACTGAAAAGCTATCGATGCCAAAACTAGGATTTTTGTAGCATTTCGTTTACTCTGTCCAGCTGTTGTCAAAGCTTCAAAAGTTCAAAACGATAATTTGAAAAATAGCTATAGTTAGGGTACGTTAAAGGCAGTGTGGATCGGCAAAATCCAACAACTCGGGATTTTAACGCGGTAGGTTCCTCATCGCCCAACTATGAAAACAGTGCAATCCCGGTTGCACAGCATGCTTTCCCTACCGAGAAAATCGCTTTCGAACTTACACGCGCAGGCCAATCTTACATGCATCTGGACGAGTTGGCATTTCCTTCTCCTCCTTGGAGGCTGCCCGCCGCAACGCTATAACCATTGAGTCCTGCGTCATCGGCCTTGCTCCACTCGTCCACTATCAAAGGGAAGGGCATTCAAAACGTTCACTTTTGCCGTTTTCAAGCTTTCAGTGGATTTTCGGGATCAGCGTATTGAAAAACCCCAGGTAAGCGCAAATTTTTTGACTAGGTTGAGATTTGCCGAGCCACTGCCTTTAACACATTCACGGCAATACGACCCACCGATGGGTCGTAAGTGTCCTACCATTTCGGACAATCCCCCCACCGGTGGGTCGTATGCTTTTTGAAGTTTTTGATTTTGCTAGTTCATAGTGAAACTTTTTAGGCAAACCGAATAAACTTCTATATACATCTCTTGGAGTACTTCCCAAAAGATTAACACTTCCGATTACAGGACCCATCAGTGACTTGAAAATATCACGTAAATTCAATTTCGCAAAATATGCTCTGGTCCAAAATGGCAGTCATCGAAAAATCAGCTCCGTCGTGAATGTGTTAAATGCATGGGTTGGAGATTGTGGCGATTATTCAAAAGAACATTAGAGAAATTCGAACAAAGACATCACTGCTGGAAAGAGAAAGGAATTCTGCATATACAATGCTTGGAGTGTTTGTCTATCGTTCTTAAATGAATCAAGGATAGGTCTAAGAAACGGCACGAGGTGAGTGGATCTTTCAAAGTTTGCGCGTCAAACGGATTCTTCTGGCCAGCAAAATTTGATCCTTTCACAACTATTTGCAAAGTCGTGAATGTGTTCGGGAAGTAAGTGGGCAAGCCATGGACTTTAGCCAAAAAAGTGATCAAAGTTTACTAATCAACGAGAAGCGCCCAAAAGAATTTATCACGTAAATGTCAATTTGCCAAGGTTTTAGCCGAACATTTCAGAAGATTTCTGCTTAAAGATGTAGCTCACGGTGATTAATTTTCTTATGGCGAACTAAGCCATGACGGATCTAAAAAAGCGATTCGGATTTGCAGTTGTCCTTCTGCGAAAAGTTTCATCCACGCCAAATCACCGATCCCACATGAGAAAGCTTTCGAAATGAGTAGTTGTTTACATTTTATTAGTAATAGCCGGCATAGCGCAGTGAGTTCCAGTGCCGTCATCATGCGATATATGAGGAAATATAAATAGCAGAGCCAGTGTGAGCCTCTGCGAGCAGAGGTGACGCATTGGCATACAAAATAAAGCAAAACGTTGAACAGAACATGCAAAAAATAAGCGAAGTTAACTCACGCTGAACATATTCGCACAGTTCCTGCAAAATACTTCTTGACATAGACATGACTGAATATACACAAGAATTCCTACATGAAGGAGCTCCCGGACACCTAAAATTGTGTTGAAGAAAATTTAATCTGTAGTAGTCGCAAATAGACGCTTCAAGACGAGTAAACAATACAACGTCGAGATGATTACGATATCAACGAAACGCACACAATAGTATTTACAAAGTCAAGCGGACCGAAATGAAAAAGAGCAGGCAAGGGCAGTTACTCACACGCGACCGCGCGCTAGAAAACATGGTCGCAATGCGGGCAATTCGTCAGCAACCACCCACGCAATCCATGCACCTACAGCAACTTCTACAATTCCTATCTACTTCACCCGTGCACCACTGCTATGTTGTGGAGCAAATGAAAAAAGCGTCCTCCATTCCGCGATTACTGCTACCGCCGCTTTGCGACTCTGAGCCGCGGCACGCACGCTTAACATGTGGCAACATGCAACAACCTGATGTCCAAGCTAACTGTCACCATGTTGCTTGTGACTGTCTCAGACATTTTCGGCGACCCGCGCGTCCATGACCGGGTGGGCGCAAACCCATGCCGGGGAATCATGCTATCGCGGACCAGTGAGGGTTCCAGTGTGTGCAGCGGCCTTGTGACCCGGACAAACGGGCAGCCTGTTCCAATGTCTCTTTTCTCTTGTTGGCCCGCGCTAGCATAGCAAGGCCAGCTCTAGGATATGTTTTCGCTCGGCTGCACATGCATGCGCGGGTCATTTCAAATCTAGATATTGTGCATCCCCCAGAATTGTTCCACTGAACCACCAACGTGGCTGCCGTTCGATCGTTCTAACACGTTACCTTCAGCAAATTTGAGGCGCTTATTCGAAGTTAACATGTCAGAATGATCAAAAGACAACCACGTTGATAGCTCATGTTTGGAATTCAAAGTTCAGTAACGACATAAGTCCGATTGAAGTAAAAACTTCAATTTAAGGGTTTTCAAGCACACTGTTCCCGAATATGCTAATAGTTTTGCTCTATTCTTCCAAATTTATTCCTTTTTTTAGAAAAACAAAGTTTCTTACGACTTCACTGTAAATTTGAAAAGTGATATTCGAAGGTTTTCATCACGCCGGTCTTTTTAATTAGTGAAGTTGTAAAAAATTTATTTTTCAAAAAAAGATTGATTTTGGAAGTATTGAGAGAAACCATTAGCATATTCGGAAAAGCGTGCTTTGAAACCTCTAAATACTAGTTTTTACTTCAATTGGACACATATCGCTACTGAACTTTAACATTGACGACCTTGTGCATACACACGTATGCACGCCCTAAAAGGCCGGGCATACTTCACGCAATTTCAGGCGACGCGATTTGGCAATATTCCAACTGTGCATAAGTCACTGTAAGCACAGTTTAAATATACAGAAGAAAGGGCAATTTATCAATTCACGTAAGTCATATATATTAGATCGTTTCAAAAGTAATTTCGCTTTTTCAAACGGGCGCCACATTTGATGGAACAAAGATTTCTAAGAGATCTTAGAGGCGTTCGATGCAGCATTTCATTCTCTTTCTAACGTTATGAACTTATTACAACATAGTCCACGAGCTTTCAGAAAATAACCAAAATCTGCGACCTATGCTTTTTGAGATAGTCAAGTTTCACAATTTTTTAAAACTTTCATAACAATCCTCAGAAGGAGTTTAAGTAACGGTTCGATAGGGAAACGGCCCTTTTGCACCGCTCGCTATCACGGCTCGCCTCTGATTGGTCAACATGCCTAATGCCAAAAAGAGTTAATGCTCGTTCATTTATGTACATCTTTCATGTCCAACATGATGATAGCTTTTGGCACAGGTATATTACATGCTTCAAACTAAGAATCTCCCCCTTGACTAATGCGACTTGTTAGTTTTGCCAGCGGCGCCGCACGCGGCGAACAAACGTCGTGCGCGAAGGGTTCAAAATGGCCTACACCCTCTTGGGACCTTAACTTAAAGGACTCAAGTAACTCCACTGGCGTAGTCCCGGACAGCAGCACGTGTATGACATTGATCTCTTGGTCTGTGTTGTTGCGCTACATACGAGTTGTTTACTTCTTCGTATATCTCATTTTGCCGCTCCTGTTCGATGATTTTAAATAAAGATTCTTCTTACCTAAACTGACTTTTCCAGTGAGAGACGCAGGATGGGTGTCGACATTGAAACTATCAAAGCTGGAGATGGTGAGTCATCGTGTTCTCTACTTTCTCTACACAGAACAATAAGTAAGGAAAGAAAAGGACAATTCAAAAGGAAGCCGTTGTTTATAAGTTAACTTCCCTTCCTTTACTTTTGTTGCCTTGCTCGCATAATCTAACGACGGCTTCTATATCGTTATAATTTACTCTCGTTTTCATCTCTTTTTTTATAGACTAAGAGCTCAGTCCTTGCTGCTTTACATTGCATTGCTAATACCAGCGCGCGCATTCAACACTAATTTCTGCCATTCGAGAAACATTCTTGCGTGTTTGTTTAATCTTCTAACTTTGACCTGTTTGTCGGGTTGATGCTTACAAAAAAAGCTGCGAGTCACTGATAGGAAAGTTTTCAGTCAGAGTGGCCTTTCCAAGAAATATTGACGCCGGGTTGTGAGTGTTTGAGAGAGCAAAATGAACGCAGAAATAAATCAATTTCTGCAGTCTCAACTATAACAGTGTTTGTACAACTGTATTATAGACAATTTGGAGTTTTGTTACGATTGCCCGTAATTTTCTTCTCAAGAATGCTCACAGGTCAATGTTTAGAGGCTTGTCCGGTAAAAAAGACTTATAGTCAGCTTTCAATTCTTCTCAAGATGGTATAGAGTTTGCTTGGAAAGGCCGCTTCGGCTTATTCAGGCTCAACGTTTTCCTACACGTTCACTGTTTATCTTCCTGAAGCCTTGGACTAGCTGGTATCATGTTTTGTTAGATGTGTTTGAGTTTTTTTTAGTTGTATACAATTTGTTTGAGAAATACAAATAGATAACGTATTGAATTCTATTATTTTCAGGCTCAACGTTCCCTAAAACCGGTCAAACTGTTACATGCCATTACGTACTCACTCTACAAAATGGAAAGAAGGTTCTTTTTTTTTGAATTCACTCGAACTAGAGTATGAAACAAAAATCTGCTTTGCACTGTATAGTAGTGAGCTCAGGTTGATAGCTCACGCGATCGTGGATCTCCCTTCAAGTTCAAAATTGGCAAAGGTGAAGTTATCAAAGGTTGGGATCAAGGTGTGGCACAGGTTTGTGAGCTTATTGTCAGCGTCATCAAACCATTTTTATGCTTGCTTCAGATGTCCATAGGACAGCGTGCTAAACTGACCATCTCTCCCGATCTCGGTTACGGTGCTGGTGGCGTTCCCGGCGCCATTCCACCAAATTCGACTTTGATTTTTGACGTGGAGTTGATAAGCGTTGCATAATGAGCTGGAGAATCTATCTCTACTTAAGATCTTGAGATTATGAGCGGTACAATCTCTTTTTGTTTAAATTATTCTTAGTAGTATAAATGTTATCATTAGCGAGGTGAAGACCATCAGTTACTCTGACAGGCAGCTTGACTTACAGTAGCAGACACAATCTAGAGCTTAACCGTATTTGCTTAAATTTTCCTTCAGATATAAAGCACTATGATAGCGGATCTTCCTGGAATGCAAAACTTGATATTTGTAGACTGCAGGGAAGGATGGATGAGCTGGTGCCGTTCCAAGGTGTGATGTATACTATCTTAATAAACATAAAACTCATATGTGAAATCGCCTTCTCTACCTGCGGAACATTCTTGAGCGAGGATTTATGAAGATTGGAGAGAAATTTGATTGCACATTGGAATAAACGAGGCAGCGGTGTGGGTTCAAACATCGATAGAGTGTTTATTGACAGAGTTTCCATAATAAAAATTGCTTCTTTGAGGGGCTAGGAGAGCTGTTACACCTGATTACAGCCTTGTTGAGCATTCTGTTTTCTGCTCGAATCAACTCTTCGCCCGGAAACGTTCCGCAGACAAGGAGGGCAGACTTTATAAATGCGTTTGGTGTCCTCTAAGGTACAGTCGAGTAGATTTAGCGTTAAATATAGTGTGCTTGCACAGAAGGTGAAATGCGGTAAAATTGGCGCGTGAAGAAATATAGTTTCGACTGTGACGCCGGCCAATTGCGCGCGCAAGATACCCGCGGTACTGACGTGGCTACTTGTTCACGCGCAAATTTCACCGCATTTCACCTTCTGTGCAAGCACACTATATTTACCGCTAAATCTACTCGACTGTAGTATCAGTTACATCTTGAATACTTCAGTTGACCATCTGTCTCTTGTCAGGAGATATCACATATCTTTTTTTCTTCAGACCTATGCTCAATTCTGTGCTTCAGTACTGTTCTATCATAGAACTTTTGGAACAACCTCCACCGCTTAGTAAAACACACATACTTTCTTTTCTTTTATAAATCGAATACATCCACAAAAACATTCAGAAAGAAGCAATCAATCAAACCATGCATATGCTTGAGTAATAAGATTCGCTATGATAGGTTCATAGTCTGACTCCGCAAAAACGCTGCATTTTTTTGTGCTTCCTTCAAAGGAAGGCAGCACAGTGATCAGACACGAGTTTGCTGATGTGAACAAATTCGTAACAAAAAGAAGTTTGGTGTAGGATGTTCCGTGAATAAACACAAAGTAGCGGTGCTTCGGGATCTAGATGGGTTGGACATTATGAACGTTTCTCACAAGTCTAGCAATCTCTTTGCAAGCCGACAAATTTGGTCGAATCATTGCCACTTCCAAAGGCTGCACATCATCAAGTCGCACATGCGCATGAGTATGCTGAATTGTTATATAATAGTTTATGATATTAAGGAAAAGGAGAAATGGGCATCACCTGCGATAGAAGCTTCAGTGATGATGTTCGCAGTTTGGCTTCGCGCTTGTCCCACAAATCTTGCAACAACACCTTGATCTAAAGAAAGGCAGGGTTCATACTGAGCCGCACAAAGCGGCCCAGTTCCAGCACAGCGCTCGAACTGTGCTCGAACTGTGCCGGAACTGTGCTGCATGCGCAGTTGAAGTATTTTGACCATTTCTGACGGTTTTTCTTCTAGGTTTTTCTCATTTCGGGCCTTATCCCTTCACCTCGCTTTTCCTTTTGATGAGTGGAACTCCGAGCGCAAAGCGGGGTTGAGGAATAAGCGCTGTTCTGCTTTGTGTGTCCGATTATGCGTGTTGTTCCGCTCGTTCATCTCTTTTCGTTTTATTCTTGCATAAAAGTATTCTTTTGTTTCCAGAAGGTCGCTGCAATATTTTCGCAGGCATTTTTCTTGAAGGAGAGCAAAAGTAGTGCAGAAGAGCAGGAAATTCCATCAATCTGTTGGTCTTCTAGCCCCTTTTCGTTTTCATTTCATGGTTTTTTCGTTCTTTGTTTTACCCCGCTTCCCTTTTTGTTGTGTAGCGATTTGAACTTGAAGCGGGGTAAAAGAATGAACCCGGTTGGTATCCTCTCAGCCGCGTTCATTTTCCATTTCGTTGCTTTTTCGTTCTTTTACTCCGCTTCAAGTTCGAAGCGCTACACAACAAAAAGGGAAGCGGGTAAAAAAAAGAACGAAAAAACAATGAAATGAAAACGAAAAGGGGCTAGGACCCCACAAGTGGCCAACAGTTTGATGGTTTCCTGCTCTTCTGCACTATTTTTGCTCTCGTTCAAGAAAAATGCCTGCGAAAATATTGCAGCGGCCTCCTGGAAACAAAAGAATACTTTTATGGAAGTATAAAACGAAAAGACATGAACGAGCGGAACAACACGCATAATCGACACACAAAGCAGAACAGCGCTTATTCCTCAACCCCGCTTTGCGCTCGGAGTTCCACTCATCAAAAGGAAAAGCGGGGTGGAGGGATAAGGCCTAAAATGAGAGAAACCTAGAAGAAAAACCGTCAGAAACGGTCAAAATACTCCAACTGCGCATGCAGCACAGTTCCGGCACAGTTCGAGCACAGTTCAAGCGCTGCGCCGAAACTGTGCCGCTTTGTGCGGCTCAGTATGAACCCTGCCAAAGTCGATACATTCGTTCTCAACATTTGAAACACATCAGTACCTGATCGCCATCAACTAAATCCTCCTTTGCGACACGAACTAGGATGTTGGATATCTCAAAAATGAAGGGAGGAAGATGTGAGAGGCTTTCTGTTTCTCCTTCTATGGCAACGAGTCGTTTCAGCTCGTCTAAGTTGAACCAGAAGGGCGGCTGAAATATAGTCATGCACATTTGAGTGTTGAGGTGTGTGTGCCTAAGTGATTCGAATGCAACCATCGAACGACTAATAGTCAAGAGCAGTTGCACAGCTTTGCAGGAGGATCATAGGAAGCAGAGAGCCAAGATACTGGAAGCAGCCGAAGGAAGACGCCAAGATACTGGAAGCAGCCGAAGAAACACGAAGTCATAAATACCGGCTGTCTTCTTCACTATCATATGGTCTTTTACGAAAAGAGCCCGCAAAGAGTTCAATATTCAGTTGTGTGATCAGCTAACTCCCTTGCTGAGATTGGTCATAGGTTGTCAAGGGTTGCCGTGCTGGGGTGGGTAGCTTAGAGAGCACATAATACACACATAGACTGCCATGAGGTCCTACAACGACCGCTGTCACGTTAACGGCGAGCTAGTTTGCTCTCTCCTCAATCTCCGCTGCGACAACGCGCGTACAGCGCAAACCCCTAGCGCTGCGGGTGAACAAATTCAGCCGATGGTTCGGCCTGATCCGATTGGGGCGGACTATATGACTGATCCCTTACAAAAAGAGCGCGCAATGTTTTCACTCAATTAGTGACTTATGATCTTGCCACTCGAGACTTTATCAGCCTTCTCGGTAGCAAACGCCGGAAAAAAGTGATCCGCAGACCGATGCACCAACCTGGTATAGATCAAGACGGATGCCACTACGTTGAAAGAATTTCTTTATTGAGCAGCAGTCCCAGTGAGTACAGAGTAGGCGAGGCTGAATCAGAAGCGAGCAATCATGCCTACTCAGATTACATCGGTAAGTTCGCGGCTTCAAAGCGTGTTACATGGAGCGCCGCGGCCCCTGAACTTTGAGCTCCGCACGCCGCGGCCCATGTATATTTTACCGGAAACGCCGCGGCCCATGTATATTTTACCGGAAACGCCGCGGCCAAAATTGAAACTGGGAAATAATTATCGGGAGGCTCGCGGCCCAACCACCTCACTCGGCGGGCCGCGGGCCTTCTCAAAGGCCGCACTTCTTACACACTGTAGGATAAGGCGCAACCCGCGTGAGGTACGCCGCAGCGATGGGGCTACCCTAAGTGTCATGAATTTGGATATCACTGCTCGGATTTGGTTATGTATAACAGAATCGAGTTCTCATGATCATGAAATAAACTCCAGTAGTCGGTTGAGTGTTATCGACGACACTAGATGATGTCGAGAGATGAGCTAGCGTTGCTCAGTTTGCACTCAGGTCCGTCATTGAGAAGGACAGACTAAATAGTTCCTCACTCCTCATAGGTCTTACAAGCATGCTAATCGGGTCAACTATAGGCGCTTAAAGGCAGCGGCTCGGCAGATTGACCTACCTCAGATTTTGACACAGATGGATAGGAGGCCCTCCAAGTGAACCAAAACAGCAACTCCGCGCTGAAAATGTGAACTCTGCAAGCCAGGGGGGCGACCCAAGCGCCGCTCCCCTTCCTCCTTTCGCTCCCCTAACACCTTGTTCGGACGAGTATTCTCCGCTAGACTGCGCGGGACCCCCCAACCGCTTTCACGCATTGTGCATATACAAAGCCAAAATTACAGGCAGCAGGGTCTTCGTGCCAGGGCCTCCCGACTTTCCTGAAAATTCTCGTCCGAGCTGCCTTTTGGAAATTGAAAAAAAAACGCCCCAAAAAGGCCTATTCACCGCTTTTAAAGCTCAGATTCGGGATCTACGGGTCGAGAAGGCTCAAAACATGCAAAAAGATGGATATGCAAAATCTGCCGAGTCGCTGCCTTTAACGGGCTCTTAGGATGCGCCGCGGTCACTTATCGGGTCTATTATATGGGTTTACCGGGCAGCTCGCGGCATGGATGATTGGTGGTCGAACAAGCACCCGCGAACTTCCCGATACAATTGTCTGAGTATTTACGCCTGCCACAATTTTGCAACCTAGATGCTCCCTTGTGGCAAACAATGGGTATTACACGAGTAGGTCGCTAACTATTCTGATTATCCTAATAATTATACATGCTCCATCTTTCGCTGCGCTATTACTCTGTAGAGCTGGCTTCAGCTTAGGTTTATAGTGTGAAGCAGATTACTGATCACTTTTCACTACTGTATGATTGTGGTAAGGAACTCGCATAACAAGGCGAGATTGTGAAACGGATAGTCTAAACAAATTTCCAATCTGGAATATTGTGTAACGAGATTTTACACATGCTCATTTCACTATAGGGCATTTGCAAAATCGTGACGACGGCGCGACCGTGCGCGACATGCACAACACTTCAATCGCAGTTGGCAACTTCAATCTCAACCTTCTTCTTTATATAGTAGAGAAATAAATCATCTCTTCTAGGGGAAGAGATGGTCGTTTTCCCCTTACCTATGCAAATGGAAATGCTGCGAAAATATTGGGTTACGGTAACATGCCTAGCCTGCGCTATAGTGTAAATCGCGAAAGAAGGCGACAAGGATAAAGATACTTGATAGATAACCTCATAATTTACATAAATGTGATTTGAGCCTGACTGGCCCTCTCCAATCTGAAGTATTGAAAGCGGAAAATGAAAAATGAGATTTTAGCTTGCTTGTAGTTCCATAGTTTGAAAGTTACCCGAAGTGGGATTCCCAGCGTGGGCAAAGAAGTAGTAGTTCTTTGTACTAAGTGCAAAAAGAAGTAGTTAATTCACCTTGAAACGAAGGTAACATATTTGAAATTGACTAATCACTTGGATGGCCCATTATCTGGAAATCTCAGAATTCGCTGAAACTTGACCCACAGGGCTTATTTGACATTCTAGTTACGAAAATGATACTCTTATGCTTATAGTACTCTTTTATTACGCTTACTGTACGTATATGATGGTAGGCCAAAACATCAATATGCTGATACTTTACACAGTGCTATCTGACATTGTTGACACGTTTCGGAGCGGTGCTGCACATGGTGCAGCACGCGCTTTTCAAGGGTCTTTTTAATGTTTGCAGTAGGTTTCCTTCTTGTCCAAGGTTATCAAGTCGAAGATCTAAGCTCCTACTTTTCAAATGACTCTATAGAACTGTGCCGCTGAGATTTGTTCAGGAGATATGAGGACAATTTGAACAACAGTTGCAACGAAGTGCGGCAACGCGAACGACGCGTGCGACGTCGTAACTTTTCTTTGCTTCGAAATCAAAAAGAAAAACCGTAGCTCCAGTAGTGATGTGTATCGTGTACAACATAGATACTTTTGGATACAATTAGAAACTGAGTTCTTGTTCCCATCTTTCAAGAAAGCACAGATGTCCTTCTCAGGCGACAAAATTCAAACACTTCGAATTCACTCAGAACTTTGGGTATGGATCTTATCTGATATGCTGAATATAGATGTGGCACACTGTCAACTGCAAACTGTCCGGGTGCCATCAAGCGCGCATTATCGGTTTCAGCAAGCGTGTCTTGATGAGGCTGTAAAATACGGGGCAACTTGGTGTGTCCAACTTGGTGAGAACATCCAGACTTTCGGGCTGAGCAAGAAGTATATCATGATACTGATCAAGGAATGTTTGAGCTGTAACATCTTTAGATGGTCAGGATCATACTTTACCCAGCTGAGAGGTCTCGCGATGGGACAGAAACTTGCGCCGGCCCTCGCAATATGTTTTATGAGTAAAATCGAGAATCCGGTGTTGTCAAGGCTTCCTCTTATGTATTGCCGGTACACAGATGACTGTTGTGTAATAACATCTACACAGTCCGAAATGGACGAGTGTTTTCGCTTAGGGTTGTTTCAGACTGCCGCACTGACTGCAGCAGACTGCAGCAGACTGCTGCAGTCAGTGCGGCAGTATGAAACAACCCTTATTGAACCAACAGTCGCAGTACATAAGATTTACATGTGAACAATCCGCTGACGACTGGCTTCCTTACTTAAACGTACAATTCAAACTGTCCGGATGCCATGCGATTGTTAAATGATATCGTAAAAACAGCTCAAAAAACATCACACTTCATGCTCGCTCTGCTCATCCATCTGCAGTAAAACATGCTGTGGTCCATAATATGTTCAAAACTGCAACACAGGTCTGGACAGGAGAGAAGGAAAAGGCAGAATCGCGAAGTCTAGCGCTGGATATCGCTCGGGCAAGGTTATCTGACATCATGTGCACAGTAATCCGTGTAAAAGCAACATCGTTCAATGCAAGGACAAAATACCTCTCTGTTTGCCCTTCATTTCAGATAAAGTTAGTGTTGCTACGCGACACAGCATCAGGCGAGCGCGATTGAGCGACGATGTCATTTTAGTGGATATACCAAGCGATAACATCAAGAAGCGGCTTGTACGAAATAGGCTGTACGATAGATTCTGTATCTCAAAAGAGTGCATAATCTGTCCTTACGGTAAGGTTGGCGACTGTGGAATAGTAGGAGTGATATATCAGCTTGAGTGTTTTGAATGCGGCGCCACCTACATTGGAGAAACAGGGAGGGCACTTGGTGTGAGAATAAAAGAACATTTAGCCAACAAAAGACGTATCAGTCTCAATTCACCGTTAGGGAAGCATAGACATGAGGTGCATGGTGATAAAGACTACGAAGTTAAATGTTTGATTTTGGCATGCGAGACCGACACTTCTGCGCGGAAAGCTCTCGAAACATTCTGGATCTCGCAGAGAAACCCCACTATGAACAATCGAAAGGAGTGTCTAACGATTACGAGTGACTTGATGCCGTTCATAATGTTATGTGAGCTGTAGTGCTGCTCTGTATAATATCGAGCTGCCTAGTGTAGCTCATTGGCACTACTGACACGTCAAGACGGGTTGTACAGTACCATCAGTGCACCTTTGGTGAAGCGGCGCTGAGGTTGGTTCGTCTTCCTCTTTATGCGAATTTTCTTGTAAAATCGGAGGGGGGAACGCAACTAGCCAGAGGGGATAAGGCATTTGGTGGGATAAGCATAAGATCTAAATCTCGCACCACTCTAGGCCTCTGAAGACGACGATAAGTCGAAACGTAAGGCCGCACTAATAAAAGGCTTCACCAAACCTCGTATCGGCATAACAACATTGACATCATAATCATACTTTACACAGTGTCTATCTGACATTGTTAACAAATATCATGTTATCGCTAACATCAGCTCACCTCCATAATGACCCCCCCCCCCCTCTGAAATCAGCGACTCTGATTGGAAGTATGAAAGTTTTCAACTTCTTTGGTCCTCTTAGGCCTCGGGCAGAGTTCACGCGATTTGGTCGTGGCGATTGATCGCGACGAGACAACTGCAAAAATATCATTGCATGCCGAACTTCTTGCATTTTCTTGTGATAGCTTTCCAATTTGACTGATCGTGACTAACTATCACAACCGAGATACAAGAAGATCGGCATGCAATGAACTCGTAACACTCGTCTTATAGCGATTGAATCGCGACGATCAAATCGCTTGAACTCTGTCCGAGGAAAATATGGCCCTTGAAGGCAGTGGCTCGGGAAATTGCGACTGCGGGCTTTCCAAATCTACCTGGTCTTCTGGACCCGCTGTGTGCGGTACTGTGCTTGAAGAGTTAAAAGGTGCTTTTTTTGGCGTTTTCCGGCTATGGAACTGCTGAAGGGACTGGAGCGGAGATTCTCACCAACGGAGTCGCGATTGGCTGCCTGGGCTGATTAACCAATTGCCGCCGAAATGAGTGGTATTATAGTCTCGCAGCCAGTCACTGTTTTGGCGGTAATCGCTCCATCCCGCCCATCTCCAAGGCCGGAAAACGCCATAAAAACACTTTTTGACTTTTTAAGCACAGTACCGGACTCAGCGGATTCAGAAGGCCAAGTAGTTGTGGAAAGCCCGTAGTAGCAATTTTTCCGACCTGCCTTTAATGACTCAAAACCAAGGTCCCCACCGTAACTCTACAATAATGGAGAGAGAGAGATGATTTGCTCCATATCGCTCTGATAAGTCGACGCGAGCTCCACAGAGTGCTGGCAGGAGAAAATAAAGCAATAGAGTCGTCAACAATAAAACAGTAGAGACATTTTTTCTTATTACGGTGATCGACGCTTTTCCCAGCTTCATTTCGAGATCCAACGATGATTGATGGCATCACGTAATGTGGGTACACAAAATCAAAATAGTTCAGTAGAACATACCACTATCTCGCAATGATGTCTTCTCCGCAGATCTGCCGCCAACCAGAGTGGAACTTCGGTGGGAATACCAGCCTCCAAAGGCCCTACATCACCGCATACCAGATGCAAGACAGGCTCGTTTCTCCGAGGCACAATCTAGAAAAGGTTAAGCAGCTTTGATTTATACGAGATCATTATTTGATAGTAGAAGGCGTGAAGGATGCGCACAGTTGCTTAGCATTCTATTGTGTTCTTTCCACCTTTTTAGAATAACCAAGGTAAGGTGCACGGTTGCAGCTGGAAGAAGGAACTTGATACTTTTAGGGCATGACGCCGCTCCTGGAAATCATCCTGAGTTTCAGGTTGAATCGACTGTACTGAGAAGCTGACAGCGAGGGGCTAGAATATCTGCAAGAGGAACAGGAAAGATGCTTTGCACATTACTTGTTGTTAGTAGCTTTTTTTAAGGGCATGAGTCTTACTTCTATCATTACTTATGACAGGTTGATGAGAAGACAGAAATTTGGCTGCTCAGTATTCTTACAAAGAGACGATACTCGGTGTCCGGAGGCTTTTGAGACGGTGTATACCATTATACTCGTTCTGGAACGCTGATACGGAATCTGACTTCTGATTCTGCTAATCTTTTTTTTTTTGAAGAAGTTGTAGAAGATTTGCTCGCACGTTTGGCCGCCCGAGGGAATACGCTAAGAACGCCAGTACTACCGGTACGCCGTGGAGTATGATTAGTGCGATAGTCTCACAAGTTTGCAGGTGTTCAAGTGCTTTTGGGTTTCTTAGTTTTGCATTGCCTCACTTAGGATTCTTTCAAGAGTTAGACATCCTAAAGGTAAGTGCATGTCCTTACCAGAGACTAGCATGAGGGTGGCAAATCGACATCAGTCAAAGGCTTCGCCTTTGCCACTATCAGTTTGATTTTGATTTTCTCCTTGATCCCGCCAGCTGCGTAGGTTGTTAGATGGGAGCGCGCATTCTTCTTCCACGGGACAGGCGTCTTTACTATTCTGGATCCTAGAGTTTTGGGAACAAAATGTTACAATATTTATTTTTCTCCCAAAATTTGGAGCAACATCTTCGTTCGCCAATTATGAGAAATTTTTGGAACAAAATTCCTTAAAGGTAGCGTCCAGGCAAATCTGGACCTATGAAGATTTTACGTGGAAAGTACTTTTGGGGCCCTAACTAAGGCAGCCCAAGCGGCAGCACAGGTAGTGCGTGAGATATTGCCCTCGAAACTGGACCCCGCGGTCGTAACTAAGGCACTGCCCAAGCGGCAGCACAGGTAGTGCGGCTGAGATATTGCCCTCGAAACTGGACCCCGCGGTCGTAACTAAGGCACTGCCCAAGCGGCAGCACAGGTAGTGCGGCTGAGATATTGCCCTCGGAGCTGGACCCCGCGGTCGTAACTAAAGCACTGCCCAAGCGGCAGCACAGGTAAAGGATATTCGTTGACGACAGCCCCGTTTCGTGCATTTACACCACCGTGGGCGTGCTTTTTTGAAGCCTTTCCAGCTTTACAGTACGCTACAGCGCGCAGGGAATTCGCAGCTCGCAGCATCCCTGTCCTTTAACCTCTTCTAATCTTCAGGTCAGGCACTTGTTCATCAGTTACTCGTTCTCCTTTTCTTTGAAGTTGTCTCGGTCGAGCATTCTATAAGTTCTGCTTTGTGGACATTGAAAGAGCAGGAAAAAAAGTTTTAGTACAGTTATTGTATTCATGCTCCTTTTTACATACCATACAAACATTTTCAGAATCGTAAACTATCATCCCGGCATAGTTAGGGGGGGGGAAGAACGTGCTTTCTTCATGAGCAGTGATGGCTATCATGCCTTCTCCTCAAACAAGACCACTGAAATGTTTATTTTAGCACACCTACATGTCTCCTTGATGTAGAAGTGCTGAAACAGCCACTTCAGCAGTCTCTCTTAAGAAAAAAAGGCAAATCATTATCTTATATAATAGGGAGGGATAGGAACAAAGGTAAGGCCACGAAGGAATGGGTGGTATACAAAGGCGAATTACGACATACCTCGGAGCTGCCCCAGCGCTCGCAGGGAAACGCATAAGTCAGCCTATACCCTCTGCTTCTCTTCATTTTTCTCTTTTCAATGCACGTAGTTTAGTGAACAAGTTCCACATTTTGCACACCTTTGTTACCTTGAACTTTCCAGACGTATTGTGCATAACTGAAACTTGGTTAAGCACTAACATTTGTGATCCTGAAGTCTTATCTGACCTTCCCTATACTATTCAACGTTCAGATCGGATCTCTCGTAAAGGAGGGGGTGTTTGCTGTTTGATTAGGGAGGATTTGGCCGTTGAGCGGGTTCAAGTACCGGGTAGGTATAAATGGGATATTCTCTGTCTGGATATTTGGTCTAGCTCTTCTCTATCCTCTCTCAGGCTCATCCTTATCTATCGTCCGCCATCCACAACATCCAACGATGATGTTATTTTGGCTAGTACCATTCGTGACTTATGTTCCTATCCTACTTCTACTATCCTTCTCGGCGATTTCAATATTGATTATCTATCCTCCACTTCTCCTTCTAGTACACTCCTCTCATCCATTCAAGACTGTGATCTCCATCAAAATGTTACAACTCCAACCAGAGGCCGATCAGCGATTGACTTAGTATTTTCGTCCGATAATATTATCCGCAACGTAAAGACTCTAGCTCCGTTTGGCTCGTCTGATCATAACATAATAGATTTCGACGCAACTTTTGAATTAAGTAAAAATACTTTCCTACCGTACCCTGACTTTTCCAAAGCTGATTTTCTTTCGATTAGTAATGCTCTCTCGAATGTTGACTGGTATGATGTTTTCGAAAATTATCAGTCAGTTGATGATTTATACTACCGTTTTTGCAGAACTATTTACAAAATTCTGCCGGGCAAAGTGCCATTTCGCTTCGAGCCCATCAAACTTCAAAAATATCCTGTACATATCCAAAATCTAATTGAGCAAAAATCACGGCTTTTCTCTCAGTTGTCGGATCCTTTGAATAATCATCTTTACAGAAAAGTTTGCAAGGACATTAGTTTTCATATCAAAAAATATTTGGCCAATCGCGAACGACGTCTTTCTAGTCTAAATTCTAAGAGCATCTATAGATATTTTGGATACAAGACTAAAGGACAACAGAAACTCGCTCATTTGACAGATGAACATGGTAGGGCTTTTATAAGTGATGCAGAAAAAGCAGAAGCGCTGGCTAACTTCTTTAGTGGCTTTTTTGTAAATGGCGGCAATGTTGCTTCTGATTCACCTACATCATTTGACGCTGGAATGCAGACATGCTGTACAGACCTGTTCATTGAACCCAGAAAAGTTTGCGAAGTTTTGAAAAAGCTCAAGGCGACGGCAACTGCTGCATACGATGGACTACCGCAAATCTTATATCGAAAATGCGCCAGTGTTCTCGCTTTTCCTTTATCACTTATATACAATGCTTCCTTGCAGCTGGGACAAGTGCCTAGATTGTGGAAGGAGGCGCTAGTGACAGCCATACCTAAAAGAGAGCAAGTGAGTGATGTTTCCAACTTTCGTCCCATTAGTATAACCTCGCCGTCAGGGAAGATCCTTGAAAAATTTGTAAATGAGAAGCTTTTTGAATGGCTGGATAAAAACAAAATTATTCCATCTGTTCAACATGGTTTCGTTCCCGGAGGTTCTACCACCGCTTTACTGTGTGACTCTGTTTTTGACTGGATCGGTGCCCTGAATCAGGGTAGATCAGTAGACGTCATATTTTTTGACCTCTCTAAAGCATTTGACAGGGTCAACCATTCCATGTTACTTTCGAAACTTGCGCATTACGGTGTTTGCCCACAACTCCTTCATTGGTTCAGATCATATCTGCAAGACAGGGGCATGACAGTTCGCGTAGGAAGCGCTTTCTCCAGAAGATTTTCATGTGGGAGCGGAGTACCGCAGGGAGGTATACTGTCACCACTCCTTTTCCTTGCTTACACTGCGGAACTGCCTGCCCTTTTGAAAACCCACCCGAACATTCAAGTGCAAGTTTTTGCAGATGACATCAAAATCTATCTAGTCTATGAGGATGAACACCAAAATGAGGCCCGTAAAGCTCTTTCTTTAGCTATAGATAAGATGATTCATTGGTCCAAACAATGGAATCTACCCGTCAACGCCCAGAAATCCAAAATCATGCATTTTGGTAATTCGCAACCTTCTAAGTATATCTGTGATGGAGTTGAACTCGAGCTTTGTCATTTTACCAAAGATTTGGGTATTTTTGTCGATGATCAGCTTAAATTCACTCTCCATTTTAACTCCGTAGTCAAAAAAGCTCTTTCAATCCTCTTCATTATTCTAAGAAGCGTCCACACTAGGGACCCAATGCTTTTGATCAAGCTCTACAAGACTTACGTTCTTCCACATCTAGAATATGCTTCACCTGTGTGGAGCCCCCACTTGAAGAAAAACGTTGAGAAGCTTGAAGCTGTGCAAAAGACTTTCACAAGACTGGTTTTTTACAGATGTTACCCCTGTGCTGACTACCCACAAGCCTTACCTTCTTACAGATCAAGGTTGTCGACCCTAAAACTGCGCAGCTTAAAATATCGAAGAGTTTGCAACGACTTGACTTTTTGTTTTCGGATATTGAGGCTTGAAACTAAGTTGAGACCAAGCAAATTCTGGATTTTCAGACCTCAGGGTAGTCGCACGGGTGGATTCGGTCTTGGCTATCGTAAACTAGGAAGCAATGTACTTTCTATGACGTTCAATTCTTTTGTGTGTCGCACTGCTAGATGGCTCACACTTCTGCCGCGTGACATAACTTCTAGCAGCACATCTGCGGAATTTCGCAGAAAATTGGCATCAATCGACGTTCTACATGTCTTGAGGATCCCAGATGTTTAGTGTTCTAACCAGCACAACCTTTTATAGAATGAGCACTTTTTTTTTCAATAGTTTTGGTTCCATTTTTGGTTTCTTTTGTTACTTTTGCAAAAAAATTCAAACAAATATTGTCTTTTTTCCGAATGGCATGGCATGGCCGCAGTCTTATCAGCGCCTAGTTTGAGGGATTTTTGATTACTCACTCGATGGTCTAGCCACGGGATGTCACCGCGTGGTCTTTGAACGCGAACACTCGATTGATTTTGCCAGAGCTATATGCTCACATTGGAAATTAGGCCATGCATGTCGGATTCATCTCAAGAGAAAAGTATCAGGAAGATTGGTGTTTTGCATTTGGTAGTCATTTTTTTCTAACGTTCATTCAAAGGTTTTTGAATGTTACTGCTCGGAATAGCCGTTCGAGGAAACTGAAGACCAGTGAGCCCTCTTCCTTGAGATCCCCCCTTCTCGCTCGCCCAGGGTCCCTAACGGATTCGTCCGTCACGGGTTAAGTTGGTCAGCCAAGCCCTGGTAGCTTAAGCCTTCATAATGCGTCCGGGTAAGGGAACAGGATTTCGTTAGAGGAGCACTCACTCTCTGGAGAAGGAGAACGACCTGCACATTCCAGCAAGAAACTACGCACACCAATCTGTTACAGATTTCATGCTTTCCATTTGTGTTTTTTTTTTGGTACACCCATGTGTGTATTGAATAAATAAATAAATAAATAAATATATAAAGCTGAATGTCTGTTTGTCTGTCTGTCTCTCTGTCTGACTGTATGTATGTCTGTGTGTACGTATGTTCCGAATAGAAAATTCCATTTCTTAACCGATCCGGACCAAACTTGGCACACATACCCTTCGGGCCCCGGCGGGTGTCACAGTCCACTTTTCGTTATCGATCGATGTCGATTTTATCGATTTTTGCAAAATTTGAGCTACGGGGCTGGGAGTTGGCAGAGGGGTGTAATCGAGCATGCTGATTACGAATACAATATTAGTTTTCGAAACCGTGCATTACTTTTATCCCCCCCACGGGGGTGATCAGCATGCTCGATTACCCCCCTGTGCCAAATCCCAGCCACGTAGCACAAATTTTGCAAAAAATCGATAAAATCGATAAAAGTAATGCACGGTTTCGAAAACTAATATTGTATTCGTAATCAGCATGCTCGATTACACCCCTCTGCCAACTCCCAGCCCCGTAGCTCAAATTTTGCAAAAATCTATAAAATCGACATCGATCGATAACGAAAAGTGGACTGTGACACCCGCCGGGGCCCGAAGGGTATGTGTGCCAAGTTTGGTCCGGATCGGTTAAGAAATGGAATTTTCTATTCGGAACATACGGTGGAGCCGGGTAAGCCAGCTAGTAAGCTAATAAGATTATCAGTTTAGTCAATTAGGGGTATGAGAAACTTAAAAATAACTGAATTTTATGAGCAAAGGCGGAAGCATGCATGTGCATGGTGAATGTCAATGTGAGTGAAAATGGTATGCAGGCAAAGTGTTGCTCATCTGGCTTTTTGATGTCATAAATAGTGTTTTTGTCTTTTTGCAAACTTGCTATCATTTCTGAGCTTTAGGAGACTGTTCCAGAATGTTTTGGTGCACGGTGTACCCGAAGAAGTGAACATGCTTGCCCTACGTCATCGCTGGACAGACATACACGTTGATACTCGATAGGGGCCCTGCGAATTATCGTAGGAGATGATACTACAACCATACGGCCATACGCGCGGCAAGAAACAAAGGAAGTGTATGGGAAAAAGAAGCCTCAAAAAGCCTCAAAGGCTTCATCAAGAAAGTTGGCAAAATGCCCGACCATGCGCCCGCGAACGTGGCGCGGCTTTGCAGATCCAGGCGTGCAGGAGAGGGAGCATGTCATTGAAACATTCTGTAGTTCCAGTATAAACTTGATGACATCGGGAAACTGCGAGCGGCAAAAAAGGCTGTATAGGCAGTTCATTCGCACGGACTAGAGTTCACAGCGGCACAACGACGCGCGGTGAAACGCTTGACCCAGTACAAATCGCTATTGTACTTGAGTTCTAGCAACGTCTTAGCCGCGCGCCGCATCCGCCGGGCGCCATTTATTCCTACCGGGCTGGCTGCGCGAGCGGTTCGCATGCGGCAGCCGTAATTGGCGTAGGGGCGCGCATTCTTGCATGTGCGCGACAGCATTTGCGATCGCTGTTGATCGTCAGGTGTGCGGATGAAAAGTTACTGGAAAGCAAGTAAAAGTTGAGAACGCACTACGGAGTGCAGTGCGCCTGTAGGTAAAAAGGTAAATATGTAAGCTATCTGTTTGCCATGGGGTGCATGACTAATTGCTCGTAGAACTTTTATGTTAGCGAAGTATATCGTTTCTTTTCTTTCTTTACGGTTGTTGTTGTGGAAACTCCTTTCCCCATAAGCTTGTCAAGTCTAGTACAACTCGATCAATCCCTTTTAATGGAGAACTCGCATCCCCGATCTTTCCCCTTCAGAAAACTAAGTTTGATCTCATTGGTCCCATGACTTACTTAGATACATGTGTACAACTCGTTGTAAATGTTATGCAGTGAGTTTTTCTGATCTATGTCGCTGATATTCAAAGCTCAAACTGCTTGGAAAGTACCGAAAATTGACGATTTTTGTCAGTTGCAATAGATGCAGAACTTTGTTATTACTGGCCATTTTCTGATAACAAAGGGAAAAGATTTGGAATTCCTAAAGATGGGAAGTCGTACTACTTGAGTTGTAATGCGATGTATGCAAACACTTCAATAAGTGAGTGGACTGTAAAATTCTGGGCAGAAACGTGGTATCTTTGGAATGAAGGGACTTGTGCAAAGAAGCATTGGATGACCATGTTGTTTGATGCTGGTAGGTTTTGCAGCAATGCCGATACACCTAGATTACTTCAATTATATACTTGTTCACATATCTGGCCTCAGATAGCGGATGGAGATCTTAACCCGCTCTTGAGTCAAAGTCTTTTACGATATAAATGTTACGAGAATTTAACAGGAGGGAGACGCCAAGTCCACGCCGCCAAGTCCAAATCAAACATGCATAATGCGAATGCCGTCAAGAATGCTTTACGATCGGATGTTTATGGAGGCAATTTTTCATCTCCTTCATTACCGCCATGATAAGATTGAATATGATTTTGAACATCCTCAAATCGTTGCACCAACACAGCTTCAGGGAAAGTCAGCTTAAACTTTCAGGGATCATAGTCAGTGCAGAAAACATATTCAAAACCTTCTTTAGTCTCTATCTACATAAAAAATCAATGATTCAGAAAAGGAATAAGCTACTTAGGCCTTGTAGGGAGTTGACAACTCCCTACAAGGCCTAAGTAGCTGATCTCACGTCATAAAGCTTAGTCAAGTAACGTACACCAATGAAACGAAACCAACTCTAAACATTTCATTTGCTCCTTCTGCAATGAATAAAGGGCGCAAAAGCCTTCAGTGACAGTTTGATGCCATGAGAACTAAGTCCAGGAAGGAATGCGCGCCCTTACGCCAATCACGGCTACCGCACGCGAACCGCACGCGCAGCCAGCCCGGTAGGAATAGATGGCGCCCATCCGCGCAGACATTGGCATTCCGTGCAGTCAAATAAAGGTAGCCATTATCAGCAAGTACAGTCTCTCTCAATCCCAAACAGGCCAAGACTGGCATGGCGGGAGAAACGCGAGAGTTTTGCATATTGTCTGCGGCGTGCTTTCTATTCTCCCTCCAGTCCCTTCGCTCTCTCCAACAGTGCGCACATGCGCGAAACCCTAGCGTTGCGAGCGCGTAAAATAAGAAAATCTGTTTGGCCTCATCCAGATTGGGACAGACTGTAAGCATCACTCAGTCAGCAGTGCACTGTATCTGCAACCAGCATGTCAGAATTCCTACCAAATGTTTCGGATGATTTCAAGAGGAAATTCAAATTTTGTCACCTATGGCGCATCGCCATGCTTCTGGTAAAACATTAACAAGATCTCATTCCTAAATCTATATATATAAAACTCAATGTCTGTGAGGATGTTCGTTTAGTTGTTCGTTCGTTATAGAAACGCGCGCCACTGAACCGATCCGGCTGAAACTTTGCACACGTATGTTTTCGACCCCGGCGGTGGTTTAGAGCTACTTTCCGCGGCGATTCGCCGGGCCATTCTATCGATTTTGATTTGTTTACTCAAACCTAAGAAAATGAAGGGCCATCATGGCAACCGATCATTTTTACATATAAGCATGTAAGCAGGGGCGGTAAAGTCCATTTCAGTCTTAAAGCCGGTAGGGTGCGGCAATTAGTCTGAAAGCGCTTTATGCGCATGTTAGAAGACATCTAGGTAGAGGCGTAAGTTTACAACTTTTGTTGGCTTAACTAACTTGAAGTCTCGGATGAGACCGGGGCCACCAGCTAGTAGTGATTAAATCTGCCCAGGTCGAACACGGTATATCGTGTATCCCCAGAATTGTTCCCAAAAGTACTCTCAACATGGCTGCCTTTCGATCGTTTCAACATGTCAAGTTCAAATAAGCGCCTCAAATTTGCCTTAGTTAACTAGAACCATTGAGGCAGCTACATTGATGTTACCTATGGAAACAGTTCTGGGTGATGCGATATATACTTTTGTGTGCAAACAAAAATCGCGATATTCACGCGTTGTTCGCAGTACTATCCTGCAAATTTGTTTGATTTGGATACTGACTGCACAGTCCACACTGCATGAAATGTACGAATCTGATAAGCTTTTGATGCGATATCCGTAGATAACTATAACAACACTTCCTGCGCAATTCAAAAATAACATAAGCCGCGAGATGCAAAATGTGCTACAATGGTCCGAAACGTGCTAGCCACACTTTCAAGCTTGTTTCGACAATGTAAGCAATGCATACTCTAGTCTTCTAGTCTCAGAATATGTAATAGCTTCCCCTCGAGAAATTTTCACTATGCAGTCTTAAACGGCTAAAGAGTAGAAATGCGAAAGATAAACCAAACAACAACATTGAAAAAAAAAGCGCACCTGGATGAGAACATCTTCAGCTAGGTACTCACAGTGTTCAGGATTCATCTCGAGCTGGTGAATGACTTCCACTCAAAGTTTGAATTATAAAAACTTGCCGCCAAATGAGTGCACCACAATCGTGTAAAAGTGCGCAATTCATGGCGTGTCACCTCTGCACCACTGACACGAATACAGACTAAAAAAAGGAAAGGTGCTGATATTGCTGAATTCTTGGAGAAAAGAGAGGGAAGTAATACCACTTGCCTAGGCATGTTTGTTTTGCGTCACCATCAGCTGGAGTTTCCTTGTGAGGGACATCATGAGAGCTAGAGGAGTTGAGATGCGTGTAGCACTCCATGTACTCTTTGACATTATTCGTCAGAGATTTCAGTGTCTTGGCGCACTGAAAGGAAGAACTTCACTGGAACCATTTCCTTTTGATTCTAAAAGATTTGACAAGATTTGACCTGTTTTTTAGCTGGGCTTTTCCCGGCTGATGCACTAAGAATGCGCTAGGGTTCGGCGGGCTTGTTGACACGGTTCAAGAAATTTCTTTTACATAACTACGCCGGGTGCTCTCGCTATTACTCTAGACACTGCTCTTCCAAAAGGGCGAAGCAGAATTGTAAGTATTTTGAAAGCTGCCAGTGGCTTCCTTTGTTGAACGACAGTCGCAAGTAAGACAAAATAATGTGTTCGAGACGAGTTGAAGAATGCGTACAAAATTAGTACAAAACCACCGATACACATTAGTAATGAATCATCGAGTAAACTACTGTGCATGACTTTTCACTAATGTGTACTACACAACATACCCTAATTTCATAAGTACCCTTTGCTTCAACCAGATCGGCTGCTGGAAGGCGGCGCCCCATGACCTAGGAGGCGGCTTCTCGCATCCACGATGCAGTCTGCGCCTCCCTCGCAAACACGCTCTCTGTTCATTTTCTACCCTTAATTAGTCACGGAGATCCGCTCCTCAATAGCCGATCTGGTTGAAGCAAAGGGTATAGGGCATTTGGAAAATCGTGACGACGGCGCGGCCGCGCGCGACACGCACGCCACTTCCGGAAATCGCATTTTCTTGCTTTTTATCTCTAGTCGAATGGTTTTTTTGCTTACGTATGGTAATGTTTAGACATTGGAACCTAGCATAATTAGTAACAGATTTGTGATTATCATGTCGGATAAGCTTTGTGGACCAAGTTTAGCGAATCTTGGAGTTTCCCAATATTAGGCCGCCCAAGTGAAGTGGTCATTTTCAAACATGATTAACTATTTCAAAAGCGAATTAGCTACCTCTTCTTGTACTCGATACGAACACTACTTCCTATTTGCCTATACCATGAATCCTGCTTCAAATAATTACCCAAACTGTGGAACTCGGAGCCAAATAAAAAAAAATCTTGTTCGTCCCATTTTCCGCATGCAGTGGTTGTGCTTCCAGCAACTATTGCTCAGACGAAAAAAAAAACTTCTCTAAAACTACGAGATTTTTGCCATCGAACTGTACCTAGCATGTTTCCTAGAATTCTTGCAGGTAAGTTTATGGGGTGTGGCGCTGTCAAGTCTACGAGTTAATTACTCTCGTTACTTGATCCCTCTACCCTTAGCTTCATGCCTTGTACTAACATAACGATTCTTGACTAGATTCTCTATCGTTATGGCTTATAGATTTAAAGTGGGGGAACATAATTGGGGAGGGGACCACCGAGCACAAGGGGAGTGCCAGCTCATCTGGAGATTCTGGGCACCGCCCAGTTGGCGTGGAGACTGTCGGACCATCTAATTAGTCTGCGTCTCGACATGTCCATTCCATTGTAAAGGTCCGCGAACTTTCATCTTTGACCATGGCTCGGAAAGAGAAAAACCGTGTAACTTTTGATCATCTCGGAGTGCAAGTTTGACCATTTGACCATTCATCATCACCATCGTCATTTCGTCATCAACCATCATCATTGTTCGAATTCTAGCTTATAGTCGTATCGTCATCGATTGAATTCTGGTCTGTGTGATGTCGTTGATTACTGGCGTATTGATCATCATTGCTCGAGTATCGATCGTTGCTATACCATTCATCTCATCGAGAACCATGCATCTTTTCGCGGTTTGCTTTCATCGTGGGGGGGGGGGGGAGGGATTGAACTTCATCGTTGGGTTGCATCTGCTGGATTGCGTCTTCACGTTGCATAGAGGAGGAGCGGGTAAGAGACAAGGTAAACAGAATGGCGAAACGCCAGAAGGCGCGGACGCTCCCGTACGTCCCGTCAATAAAGTAAAGTTCGTCCTCAAGCGGAAGACATATGAATTACGTTGCAAAATGGGACAAAGTTATTCAAAACAAAATTGAATAAAAGGATCACTTTCGTAGGGGATATGAAGAAGGGATGAAAACACACCTAATAAAATGGTATAAACATTACAACGGATAAAAACTCAGGTGTAAAACATGAAATACTGAACGAAAAGATAGAGTGTGTCATTCTATTAGGTTGTCCCATAAGTCTTTTCATTTTTGAATTTTTGCTATAATAAGTCACACACTTCTTACTCTTAATAGACATCAGGATACCATTCGATAGAGCAAAGCAAGCTCTATAAGATGGCGTTTACGCTTTCGCACAAGCTTTGGTCTATCTCGAGTTTTAGGCCAAAATCTAAAAAGTTTCGGATGGCCAAAAAACCGAAATTTTTTTATATCTTCGTTCAAAAAAAAAAATCTCACAAACCTCAAACTTGCTCACGCATAAATATTTCACATCAGACATTCATATGTGCTGTTGCTGCATTTTTTTATCAGCTAGAAATCAAGAAACCGAAAATTTTCATGTTTTTACCAGAGTGATGCTGTGCTGTTCTTACACAAGCAGTTGCATAGTAGAAGCCCTCAGAAGTACTGCAGTAGATTTTTGGCTCTCTATATGCTCTAGTTCACGAGAAATATCAAATTTAGCTTTCTTCACTTGGGTTTTTCACGCTTAAATCAACATTTGTCGGGAACCAGAGCTTATATAAAGCTAAAAAATTACAGTTGTACTTCTAAGGGCTTGTAGTAAACAACTGTCAGTGTAAGAACAGTACAGCGTCACTTTGGTAAAAACAGGAAAATTTTCGGTTTCTTGATTTCTAGCTGATAAAAAAATGCAGCAACAGCACATATGAATGTCTGATGTGAAATGTTTGTACGTGAGCAAGTTTGAGGTTTGTAGGATTTTTTTGAACGAAGATATAAAAAAATTTCGGTTTTTTGACCATCCGAAACTTTTTAGATTTTGGTCTAAAACTCGAGATAGACCAAAGCTTGTGCGAAAGCGTAAACGCCATCTTATAGAGCTTGCTTTGCTCTATCGAATGGTATCCTGATGTCTATTAAGAGTAAGAAGTGTGTGACTTATCACAGCGAAAATTCAAAAAGGAAAAGACTTATGGGACAACCTAATATGTTTTCGCTACTCACCAATATCGACGTAAATGCATTGAAATTTCACAACATTTGGTTCTCGAATTCATAACTCGAGAGGAAACAATTTACTAGCGTTACTCACAAGGGCGTGAAGAAAAAGTGAAGTGAATGTTTGAAAGCGTTCTTCGGCCCGCCAATTGAAGAATTCTTTCTTTTTATAGTGCGTATGCTTGCGGCAAACTTACTTTGTACCAGTAGCCGCTGCGTAAATGAGATTTGTGAGTGTGCCGATATATTCGGCACCTCTTCCAACCACATCAATTTCTCCTTACTCAGACTCCTTTGTAGTCTTGAGGTCACCATCTCGCGACCTCAAGTGATATCTTTGTATTGATATGCATTACCTTGCCTTGCTCCGCCTATTAGGAGCAGCATTCTACCACTACCCGAATGAGGGTGTGTTGATGTCTCAATAAAGCTTCTTTAAGCTAGTGTGTATTGCAACACAGAGGAGCCACCAAACTCCAAATATCGGCTTTCCATAAGACTGGTCAGCCACCACGTCTCAAACTTTACCATAAGACTGGTAAAGTCAGCACAGTGAGCTTGCTACTGGCCTTTTCACTCATTATGAGGAAGACCAACCCGTTGCTTGTCTCAGACACTCTGAACGTCACGTGAAGTCTCTGCCTCTGTGTGACTAGATTGTGGTTGCACAGAGACTTCACGTTCCTGCGGCCTGCTGTAATACAATTTGAGTCTGTTCACATGCATTACTGTATACCTTCTTCTGGTGATCGTAACCAGCTTTGTAGCCAGCGGTTTTCGCTGCTATGCTGGATCCCACTTCCACTATTCTAGTCTGCAAGGCTGTCGTGAACTGGCCTGCGAAGTTATCTGTAGCAAAAGTGAGAGTAGAGGGTAATTTGTGAGTGTCCATCCATGTGACCGGATGTCTACCATGTATCACGAAGAATGGATTGCACCCTGTCGTATCGTTTTTGCTACAATTGTAGGCAAAGATGGGTTTGAGGAATTCCGTCCACAAGTCTCTGGCTTTTGAGCAGTAAACTGTGAGAGAGTCCGTGACAACTTTCACCATTCTTTCAACCTGGCCGTTCGCTTTATGGTTGTAGCTGGTGGTAAAGTTCTTTGCAATTTCTAAGGTCTGTCACAGTGCCAGCTCATCTGGAGATTCTGGGCACCGCCCAGTTGGCGTGGAGACTGTCGGACCATCTAATTAGTCTGCGTTTCGACAGCGCAAGACCTAAAACGCTGTGTGGCCACAGCTTTTAAAGGGTTGTGTTACACCCCATTAACTTACCTTCAAACCATTCAAATATCTGCGTTTTTATATCGTTACTATTGCTCATCCTTCTTCTTTACACAGTAGAAAAATCTTTTGAAATAGTCTCCTTTAGAGAAAAATATAGTCGTTTTCCCCTTACCTATGCAAATGGAAATGCTGCGAAAATATTGGGTTACGGTAACATGCCTAGCCTGCGCTATAGTGTAAATCGCGAAAGAAGGCGACAAGGATAAAGATACTTGATAGATAACCTCATAATTTACATAAAAGTGATTTGAACCTGGCTGGTCTTCTCCAATCTGAAGTATTGAAAGTGGCAGAAACAAATGAGATTTTGGCTTGCTCGCAATTCCACAGTTTGAATGTTATTTGAAGTGGGATTCCTCATGTGAGCAAAGAAGTAGTAGTTCTTTGTATCAAGTGCGGAAAGAAGTAGTACATTTTTTAGCACGTTTCGGACCGGTGCTGCACATGGTGCAGCACGCTGCTTTGAAGGATCCTTTTGACGTTGACAGGAGATTTTCTTTTAGTCCCAGGTTGGTAAGTCGAAGATCTAAGCTCCTACTTTTCAAATGACTCTATAGAACTGTGCCGCTGAGATTTGTTCAGGAGATATGAGGACAATTCGAACAATAGTTGCAACAGA